AAGTGGAATCCGTGCTTTGGCGTTTTTCAAATCGGTATACTGCAGATATATATCATTTCTATATACCTTCTAGGTTCTTTACTCAGAGTTTTTAAATACTTAGTAATTGTCATTGACAGTCATTATTGCCATGATGGCTTTCTAGGACTTTAACTGGCAACCCCTTGACAAAACAATTACGCATTCCTATAGCACATCTGCTTGCCTGCTTGAGAGGAGCGATGCATCAGTTAAAGCCCTGCAACGTGTGTGGCCGCTTAAAAGGTTGCTAGCAACTATTGCTGTTGGCTGTTGCTGCTGGCGTTGCCTTTTGCAGTTGCAACGTTTGTCGTTGTTCGTGCATAAATCGTGTGAAATATCGCATTTCGCGCAGTTTCGCATCGTGTTAACGAGTGTGACATACACACACATGCAGAAACACACATTTATTTGTCTTAGCCTGGCATTGTTGCAGTTGTTGCATTGCCCGCAGTTGCAGTTGTTGCTACTGCCCAACTGCTTAGCTGGCAAGTGCTTGTCACTTGATTGCTTTGCATGCAGTTGTTGTTGTTGCTGTTGTGTCCTCTGGATGTATGCTTGCATATATTGACAGCGCTGTGTGATAATGCTGTTGACATTGATATAGCTCTGGACGCAGGGACAACTATGGGCCATACTGTTACTGTAGTTGCTGTTGCTGCTGCCGCCGCTGTAGTAACGCCCACCAAACAATTGACAGTCAACATGCCAAAAAGCTGCAAAAAAAAAAAAAGGAAAAAAAAAACAAAAAAATTGACTGTTGCTGAAGCAGCGTCAGCTTATGGAACTGCGGCAATCTGATAAAGTTGCGGCTGTTGCACATGCGCATGTTGCACGCCTACAAAATCATGTTGCACGTCAATTGCAAAGCCCGCAAAATGTGTATGCGCTGTATGCATTTTTTGTTGTTGCTGTTGTTGTTGTCTGTTTTGTATTTTTAGTTGCCTGCTTATTTAAATTCTGCAATGATTTTTTCAAAGTACTCTTCGGTACTCGGATTGCTTTTCAAGGCCGCCCCGTGCGATGTGTGTGGCCATAACTTAGCCAAGGGAGAGGCGGCGGCAACATGTTGCTGACAGACGGCAGCCAGAAGGCGGGCAGCAGCAGCAGCAACAACAACAAGCACAACTGCAACACCAACGCCAAAGCCACAACGACAATATCGAATTGCGACTTCTGCTGCTGCTGCGGCTGCTGCTGCTGTTGGGCGGCAATTGATTCTTAAAAAACGCTGACATCTTACATGTTGCAGCAACATGTTGCCGCATGCTTAACTGCTTGCGAGCAGAGATTTGCCTACGTAGTGTTTGTCGTTGCCAGTTGAAACAACGTTGACAAATTGTTACATGTGCTCTGGAAACTTGAAGAGCATCGCATTACGCAAAGGAAACCCTGCATCGCGAATATGGCAAACGGAAATTGAAAATTACTTAAAATTCGCAGGGAAAAACGCCCACAAGATGGGTACGAGTGGTAGCCGGGCGTTGTGAGAAGTACAATAATCCTTGCCAGGCCAAACTAATAATCGCATAATACACGTTCCAAGCTAATGATTAACTTGCATCATTATCGCACAAGATCAGCGCAGCAGCAATTGCAGCATCAGCATCAGCAAACGAACGAATGCGGACTCCAAGGGTTTTCGAGCTGTGCTGAGCTTGGGCTGAGCTCGGAGCTGGGTCTCTTTTTTGCTGCGATCTTAAAATTAGCTGCTGCCGTATCTGCAGAAGCTGTTCCGATGGGCAGGACAACAAAGCATCCTGCACTTTTACTCGTTTCATTGAAGAAACGACGCGCGCTCAGTGCCCGAGGCAACGCTGCTGCAATCTGCTTTTATTTTATGCGCAGCGCGCTTAAAAATGCAGTCAACGTCTCAGAAGCTGGGCTCCAGACGGCGCAGACAGGAACCTGCCGCTTAGGCGAAGACCTGACGGCCCCAAAAAGGCAAACGGCCCGACAGCCACTGCCGCAGCAACAGCAGCAACTTCAACAGCAACAACAACAAAATAAACGGCAGCCGACGCTAAAAAATAAGTTTTGCCGAGGGAGAAAATTCACTGCATCCTCCCACTTTTTGCTGCTGCTACGTGGCCAAGGCAATTGGCTATTATGTTGCTGTTGTTTCTGATATTTCGCTTGTGTTGCTCTTGTTGGTCTGTAGCCAATCATTATATGCGTTTTTCATACTTTTTTATGCGGGAGTTGCTGTTGCTGCTGCTGCTGCCTGCTAAGAATTGCTGCTACAATTTTTGATTTATGCACGACCAAATGAGTCCCACTTTGCAAAAAACAACTAAAAAACAAAATCAGTATTAAAGTAAATTCAAAATCATGCTTGTAGAAGTAGAAGAACATCAAAATGCGTGCACACCCACACTTCCGGCTGTAAATTGAATGTGGGCGTGTCATGTGCTGCCTACAAATGGCAAACGGTCAATGGCAAAAAAAAGCAACTGGAATGTAGCACCCATGTTGCTGGCGGGTCGCACCAGAACAGCCAGCAACAACGGCAGCATAATTATGCGTGTGTTGCGCTGCTGTTGTTGTTGCTCTTGGGTATTTAAGTTGATCGTCTTGTAGCCAAACATCAAAGTAGCAGGCTTGAAGCAAACAAAAAGCAAATAGAAAACCGTCAACAAACCAGCGACGAGCGCCGAACGACAAATCGTCGAAAGTTACAGTTTAAGTTGCTGCTTGGCTTGACTCCCGGCAACAGTTGCATCTGGTGATTGGCAGCAGCAGGCAGCCAAACAGCCACCAGATAATCAGAATTCCAACATTTTCACCTGTTGCCGTTTGCTGCTGCTTGCAGTTTGACATGTGCCGCACATGCCGTTGCCATTTGTCTGCACTTTAATGACGCACCACGTCCAGCAGCAGAAACAGCAGCAGCATCAGCGGCAGCAGCAGCTCGAGCAACAGCACCACTCCAATCCTCGCCTCGACGGCAGCAATCAGCTAAGCATCTTGGCGCGTTGACAATCTATGCGCATAGTTTAGCATTTACTGTTGGAATTATTGAACCACATGCGAAGTTCGAGTTGCAGTCGCTGACCCACTTGCTTCACCAGCTGATTTTTGCCCGCTCTGTCATGGACTGGAAAACGGCACTTGGCCGCATCGGATGGGCAGCGCCTGGGGCGAACATCATCAATGGACAACGGCCACCACCCTTGGTCAGCCTCAAAGTGTCATTAGTATGTTAATTTCACAGAAAATTCATACGCAGCGTGGTACGCCTGCAATGCAATTGCCAATGCGCATATTTAAATGTCTGTTTAGTGTGACTGTTCCTTGGTGTTGCTACTGTTCTCATACCCTGCACGCCTAAGCTCGTAGCAGGGTTGTTTGGTTATACAAACAACAGTCAGCTAACAAATAAGATTTACCAAAAATATATTTATTTTATTTTGTTAGACTACTGACATTTGTTCATGGAAAGCCTGTAAGCTTCTGCTCGCTCTAAACACCTTTATTCTGTGAAGAATTCATCCAATTCTGTTCATATCCATTCGAAGCATTTCTACATTTTAATAACGGACCATTGGCACCTGGCCACATGTGTACTAGTTTCTTTTTATATGGGCACCGTGAAGGGTAACAAATTTCAATTCGCCGACCTCCCGCACACACACGCGCAGCGAAAAAATTTTAGAAACGACATCAAGGGGAAATAAGGGGGACATACGCAATAGCAATAGCAACTGCAATCAAATGCGTAGTTGACCCCTTGCTTGGCCTCGACAAAAAACAAATAAACAACATAGCAAAAGACACTTGGTAAATGCAAAAAGGGGCACCAACAGAATTTGCATAGGAAAAACATCATTTCCGCCAACACAAAGCGGCCAAGGGGCGGTTTTGTTGGTCGCAGTGGGTTGGGGAGGTGGTCTATCGTATACATTACAAGTACTCGCATTCGTACTCACACTTGTTTCTCATACTCATACTCTTACTATCTATCCACGTACTCTCAGCAGGAGGCCTTCGATGGGCCGCACACAATGGGGACTCAGATTTAACTAGAAACTGTACTTTCCAATCGCATTGAATGATGTGGTGCAGTTTGGTGTGGTGCGGGGGGGTGCGGTGGTTAGCTCAATTTATGGTCAGTGCCATCATTGCTAGGCATGTGAAAAATGCGTGCAAAACGACAGCGCTTGCCACACTAATTAGTTTGTCTTTTGGCTTGCCTAGAACTTGGCAAGCGGAACAAGGCGGGGCAGCGGCTCAAGTTGGATCATTGGCGACTCGCCGACTTGCCGCCTTGCCGCCTTGCTACCTCGATTGCCAGCGGGCTGCTGCATAATTTAGGTAGCAAGAGCAGCCGCCGTACAACGAATGAATTCCAACGTCCTGTCAGACCCGGGGCTCATGGCCAGTGTTCATGGTCAGATCATTTTGCCAGGCCTTAAACGCCCACACAACAGACGCTGCCTCTGTTGCTGCTGTGCTTAATTTCCTGGAATGAATCACTGCTCTGGGCCATGTTAATACTGAAATTTTTAAAGTTAAGGTTGTATTAATAGCACTGAAGATGGGATACCCTATGCAAGAAATCACACAATAAAAGTAAAATAGGTGTTGAACAAATTCTACGTTGTTATGCGGTTAAGGCCTCAGTCCATCGAATGTCGGGCTTTAAAATTTCTTACTATTTATAGAAAAATATCTCCAACTTCCACCCATTGTACCAAAATACGATACATAGCTCCTTAACTATATTTTTGTACTCAACTGAACTCAAAGAAAGGGTATTAATGTGTACGTTGCGGCTCTCTAAGAAATCCTGTTGTCTTTGTCTTCTCTTCTCTTAGACATTTACATAATTGGTAACCGAGTTGGCTCTGAAAATATGGCAAACTCATATGCAAGGCTGTACAAAAATATATAAATATATATATATATATATATATATATATATATATATATATATATATATATATATATTTATATATATATGACTGTTTGTAGAGATTCGTTTTCTTCTATAAGCTAATTTATTAGCTGAAATGGTGCTTAAGAATACAAAAAGCCTTCGGCTTTACGCCCAACAACGCGATCAAGAGCCGCAGGGAAAATGTTCACAATTCTTCTCCTTTCTAAAGGTTCACTTGGGGTAAGTTTTCATGAGTCATTCCATATGAATAGATGTATTTATATATTTGTATGTTAACCAGTTGACTATCGTGTCTTTCGCTTCAGCTCGGTGGTGTACAATAATCCAAATATGCATCAAGAGCACCCGCTTCCAATGTCGTATGAAAGCTATCACTAATGCATTGAGAACATCTAAATAAGCATCTAATACTTAGGGATATGGAGGCCCTCGTTAACCTAATCAAATGCACTTTTGGCACGGGTATTCTGGCGATGCCCAGAGCCTACTGCAATGCTGGCTGGCTGCTAGGTTTGATAAGCACAGTTCTGGTTGCAGCCATTGTCGTATATTCCTTGCATGTGTTGGTAGCGTTTTTAGGGCCCAAGGACCCAAAATATTTTACATGATTTTGCATTAATCACAGATCGACGACATCAACAAGCTATGCAAACGCTATAAGATGAAAATGCTCAGCTACAGTGAGGCCATGCAACTGGCCATTTTGAATGGACCCGTCTGGGCAAGACCTCTAAATAAATATTTTTCGTGAGTTGATGCTGTTTAAGATCAACCACATATCGCAAATGTATCTATTAGCCGGCAGGTGGATATATTTCTTTGCATTTATCATTTCGGTGTGGATTGTGTATATGTGGTGTTTATGGGCAAGAATATCAAGAAACTGGCCGACTTATATTTTACACCTATCGATACACGTATTTATATGGCGCTGATCACTGTGCCTCTGATCTTAACTTTTCTCATACGCGATCTTAAGTATCTGGTACCATTTTCCATTATCTCAAATGTGTTAATGCTCATCAGTAAGCTTTTGAACTTGAACGAAAGATTCATTGAATATTTGGTAATTTTCTTTTAGGCTTCGGTTTAATTTTAAGCTATTTTTTGAACGATTTACCCAGTCTCTCAGAGCGAACAGCCATACAAAGTTTATCTAAGTATCCTCTGTTCTTTGGCACAATTCTGTTTTCAATCGAGGCGGTAGGCGTGGTAACTCATAACAACATATTTTTCCATTTTTCAGATTACAACTGTTTCGTTTCTAGATCCTTGCACTTCAACTGCACATGACAACGCCTGAGAATTATTTGGGAAAGTTTGGTGTGCTGAATCGGGCCATGATAATTGTTGTTATTTTTTATGCATCCTTTGGCTTTTTGGGCTATTGGCAGTTCGGGGATGAGACTTCTAGTTCTATAATTAACAATCTACCCACCGATGAAACGTACGTGCCACAACTCCAAACAATACATCAATACAATCTTCTAATCGTTTCATGTCAATTATTCAACAGCGTGCCTCAATGTATAATAGCCTTGTTCACAATAGCCATATTTTTTAGCTATGCGCTGCAGGGCTACGTAACCATTGAGATAATCTGGCGCAGCTATATGACGCCTAGACTTATGGCGAATGCCTTGAAATCGGTAGAGTATCTATTGCGTATGGCCATGGTGGTTGCCTCCGTTCTTTGCGCTATTGCATATCCCGATTTTGGTCTACTGCTCTCCTTTGTGGGCTCCTTCTGTCTGGCTCAGCTGGGCTTTATTTATCCGAGCCTTATTAATATATTCGTTCGTTATAGCGAAGGCTATGGACCCTGCAAAATATTCCTTTTGCGCTCTCTGTTTTTTATTTTTATTGGGTTGTGCGGTGGCATTGCTGGCACTATGATCTCAGTAGCAGCCATCAGAGAAAAATATGACAATCGTATCTTATTTTTTTTAAGTGCTTTTCACATAACCTCATAAAATGTAATTTTTGTATATTCTAAAATTTATAAAACTGTTTAAAAAAATTAGGTTTCATAAAACTTCATAAAAAATTAGAATTGCTGGAAATCGCCTCCATATTATAATTGTAACAACTTTATTACTACTCAGAAGTACTTCTCACATTCTGGCGGAAGGCAAAAGCTCATGGCATGAGAAGGTATACGAAATGAAGACGTTTGCAAGTACATACATGCTGAAATTGCCTATAAAGATAGAAATTTGTCATGACATGCATTTACACTATTAATGTTTTATGTACCCACTTTTATATTCATAAATTAAATAATTTATTAAGATTCCAATCAAGTTTTCTTATAAATTGTTTCAGATTCCAGGTTAGGCCAATTTCAAGTGTGACTTGTACAATTGCCCGTCTCACTTTGACGTTCTATTAACTCTTCGACTCGCGCTTATTTTGCAGTAGATAAATGAAAGTGACGTTATTTAGCAGCGACGTTTTTATGCCTTGCTGCTGCTTTGTTCAAGTTCCGATTAAACGATATTTCACATGCAGAAAGGTACAGCTGAAGAGATAGTATCCTAGTCGTGCAATTCGCACTACAATACCTTTGCTTTTCTTTATGTTTAAATCTTTCAATGATTCACAATTCGTTTGGAAATTCAAAGCATTTCACAAACCTTGAAAAATGGTACAATAAAATTGTAAACAACACAAATTTCTTCTTATAAGTGTGTAAAAACTAAATTTATATTTTCCAAAATTTAAGGCAGCTATCACAATTTTGTAATGGGCGATGGGTAAGATGGGTTTACATAAAAACTAGTTATGGTAATACATCCAACTACTTCAAACTTATCAATAGCGGCTACAATCCTTATGATAACCGCAATGTGGAGAAGCCACTATCGTAAGCCATATATTTTATTTGTTATATCATCGATTTCGCTCAACCAGCTGTCTTATAGAAATTGTGAAGCTTTCATGACATTACTCAAGTGCGTTATTGGCACTGGCATTTTATCCATGCCCCTGGCCTTTAAGTATTGTGGCACTGTTGGTGGCGTAGTAATGACAATTCTCTGTACTGCCGTAATCATTTATGGAATGCAACTACTGGTAAGCCACATATGTCGAAATATGATGCATTTCATATATATAAACTCGCTCGCAGATAAAGTGTATGGTTGAATCCAGCCGTCGCAATGAGGTGGGCTATATGAATTTCCCAGAAACAATGGTGTTTTCCTTTAGTGTGGGCCCAAAGTGCTGTCGTTACATATCCAAAGGAGTCGGCGGTTTGGTGGATATTATTTTGTGTATCGCGCACTATGGTTTTAACGTAGTGTATCACGTATTCGTTGCCATACATTTCAAGGAACTTTCAGACCTTTATATAACTAGCTCCGATTTAAGAGTTGTTTGTGCTATAGTTGGGCTTTTGTGCTTGCCCCTGTTTCTTGTGCGTCAGCTGAAGTATCTTGTGCCCTTCTCGATAATTGCAAATGTATTGATATACTTAAGCCTCTGCGCCATTTGCTATTATATGATTAGAGGCTTGCCCAACCTTGGTGAAAAGCGTATGCTGCCCTTAAATGCTTTAGATGTCCCCATATTCGTGGGAATCGTTATGTTTGCCACGTCGTCTGTCGGTGTGGTAAGTCAGCCAGCTTTTTATCTACAGGTTAATCGTCTTCGAACCTTCGATCTTAAACTCATACCCATTACCGCAGATGCTGGCTGTTGAGGCAAAAATGGCTAAGCCTGCCCTATACTTAGGTTGTCACGGTATTTTGAGCTTGTGTGCTCTTGTCGTTTGCATCACGAATATGATTTTCGGATTTCTTGGCTACTGGCGTTATGGTGATAAAATAGCCGCTAGTGTTACCATTAATCTGCCCGCTCAGGAAATGTAAGTATTCCACTCTTAATAAGAGCAACTCCTATATACTTCTATATATTTTTATAACAGCGTCGCGCAGCTTACTAAGTTGGGCATTGCAATTGCTGTCTATTTTACCTATCCTCTGAGTGGCTATGTTCCCATAGAGATCATCATAAACCATTATCTGAATAAAAATAACCAACTGAAGCATCCCCATATGATTGAATACATACTCCGCATTGCTTTCGTAATTTTAGTTACATTGAATGCCATTGCTTTTCCGAATTTGGGTCCTCTCGTGGCGTTGGTTGGCGCTTTCTCTATATCCCTACTAAATCTAATATTCCCATGCTGTATAGAAATCTGCCTTTTATATAACGATTCGTATGGGAGACTTATGTGGAAATTATTAAAAAACATACTAATGATCATATTTGGGACTTTTGTCCTTTGTTATGGCAGCTATGGTGCCATTAGGGATATGATTCAACATTATAGTTTCAAATGAGAAGCGAAAACAAAAACTGATCGTGAGTTGATGTTGCTTTAGATCAATATTATGTATACATATATCGAAAATGTATCTAAAAGCCGCCAGATTATCATTTCGTCGGATGGACAGTGTATATGTGGTGTTAATGGGCACGAATATTAAGAAACTGGAAGCTTATCATCTGTTTTCAATCGAGGAGGTAGGCGTGCTAACTCGTACCAACATATTTTTGCAACTTTAAGATTACAACTATTTCGTCTCCAGATCCTTGGGAAAGTTTGGTGTGCTGAATCGGGCCATGATATTTTTGCCTTTTTAGGCTATTAACAGTTCGGTGATGAGACGTCTAGTTTTATAATCGACAATCTACCCACCGATGAGACGTACGTGCCACTACTCCAAACAGTACATTATCGTTTCATGTCAATTTTTCAACAGCGTGCCACAATAGCCACATGTTTTAGCTATAATATGACAATCGTATCTTCTCTTTTTTTTTAAGCTTTTCACAGAACGATATAAAATGTAATTTTTGTATATTCCAAAATTTATAAAATGATTACAAAAATGTTATAATATAAAAACCAGTTTAAATTGCTGGAAAGTGTCTTCAAATACTCAGAACTACTTCTCACATAAGGGACTTGCTATTATCTCTTCGACTCTCGTTGATTTTGCGTTGATAAACTCATGAAAATGACTTTATTTAGCAGCGACGGTTTTATGCCTTGCTATTGCTTAACTTTCCAAAATTGTACAAGCTCCGATTAAATGATATTTCACATTTTACAAGCCTTGAAAAATGGCAAACTAAAAAGTATGCTAGTGTCGCGATTCTTGCGTGGAAAACTTTAGCTTTAAAATAACAACTGCCCAGCGTGATGTTAAGAGAATAATTGCCTATTTCAAATGATTTTTGTATGTATTTTTAACACAGTAAATAACTTAGTATACCTGGATCTTTATATCAACCTTCACTTATAATTCTAAAAACTTCGAAATGGCGCAGAGGTATGTGATTTTCTTATAGCATCCTTGTCCATATTGCAATGCATCTATAGTTAATTGCTTTTCACCTATTAACAGCGACTTTGATCCATATGAAAATCGAAATGTGGAAGCACCATTATCGTAAGTCTATTCCATATAAACTCATTCTCGCTCATCAGGCTATCCCAAAGCAATTGCGATGCTTTAACCTCGCTGATGAAGGGCGTCATTGGCACTGGGATTTTAGCCTTGCCCCTCGCCTTTCACTACGCTGGTTTTATTGCTGGCTCCATTCTGACTGCCTTTTGCACCGCCCTACTTGTTTATGGAATGCAACTACTAGTAGGCAAAGTATATCTAATATAATATCTCATATATCATGTATAACATCTCCCTGCAGATTATGTGTATGGTCGAGAGCAGTCGCCGCAATAGTGTTGGTTATATGACATTTCCCGAGACAGTAGAGTATTCCTTCAGTGTGGGGCCGAAGTGTTGTCGCTATATATCCAAAGTTGTCGGTTTTTTTATAGATGGTATTCTGGCATTGTCACACTATGGTGTTTGTGTAGTGTACATCGTGTTTGTGGCCTTAAATATCAAGCAACTTTTAGACCAAGTGTGGCCTAATGTAGGTGTTTGGATTTATTGTGCAGCGGTGGGGCTTTTATTAATACCACTGTTCCTCTTGCGTCAGCTGAAGTATCTGGTACCTACAAATATACTTGCGAATATTCTGCTCTATGTGGGATTCGCGTGTATCTTGTATTACTTTTGTATAGGCTTACCCCCCTTGGGTGAACGAGAACTGTTTAAATATGACCTGGCCCTATTTTTTGGCATTGTACTTTTTGCTGTTTCTTCGGTGGGTGTGGTAAGTCGAACTGGTATCTAACAGCTAAATCAATATACTTCAACATTCTTCCATATTATTACAGATGTTGGCTATAGAGCAAAAAATGGCTAAGCCCGCCCAGTATTTGGGCTGGTGCGGTGTTTTAGCCCGCGCCGGTATCCTTATAACTGTCACATGTGTTCTTTTTGGATTTTTTGGCTACTGGCGCTATGGTGATCAGGTCGAAGGTAGTGTCACTTTAAATGTGCCAACCGAGGAAGTGTAAGTGTTTCATTCCCTGCGATTTCGATAACATGCATATATATATTATATATATGTCTGCACATTTACACCAGCCTTGCGAAGGTCATCAAGGTATTTATTTCAGTTGCTGTTTTTCTAACATATCCTTTGAGCGGCTATGTTCCCATCGACATTATCATGAACCATTATCTGAAAAAGTATCGCGAACTGAAGCATCCCCATATGATTGAGTACATAATCCGCACTGCTTTCGTAATTGTATGCACATTGAATGCCATTGCTTTTCCAAATTTGGGTCCACTCTTGGCGTTGGTTGGTGCCTTTTCTATATCCATACTTAATATAATTGCCCCGTGCTGCATTGAGCTATGCCTGTTCTATCACGATACCTATGGGAAGTTGAAATGGAAGCTTTGGAAGAATATAGTCATTATTTTATTTGGCACCCTTGTTTTTGTATACGGAAGCTATCGCGCAGTCGTTGATATAATCAGAGAGTATGGTGGCAAGAAAGCTTCTACAAAAGCAAAAGTCGAAACTCCAGAAGTAAATATGCTGTCTAGTACCACACGCCCAGTTGATCAAGGATACTTTTAATCGGACTTAATACTTAATAAAGTTACATTTAAATCTGTAATATACATTTTAAATGTATTTAGCAAAGTGCTATATTACTTCTGTAGCCTCTGTGCAATAGGGAGTTTTATTTTGATTGGCAACAAAATGAAACCTCTTCAAAGTTCTTTTGACATCATAAATTAAACGAGAGTTGAAAGGTCAACTACAAGACAGCTCCTAGTCGCAGCAGTTTCTCGAATAACTCCACCTACTGCCCAGGGTCCTATGGTCTCCTAGCCAGCCATTATCGATAGCTATGTCGACATTGGCATTGGCGGTGATTCCCTCATTAGGTGGCACTCTGGGTAACCTGGCGGACTCTGGCATGTGGCATGTGGCATGTAGCAGGCAACCTGCTTGAAACTGCAGCCCCACTCAACAGCAGCGGCATCGGCATCGGCAGCGGCACAAGCACAGCCTGTTTGTCTGGCAGTCGTCTTCAGGCCCACTTAACGATGCTCCGGAATTTATGCCGATATGGTAATGCATCTGTGCTGGGGCCGCTGGTGCTGCTGGGGCGGCCCGCCGCTTGCCTCATTATGCCATTGATGGACTGCAGTTGAGCGTTTGGATTGCGTAATTTATTGTTTGGGCCGTCGCTTGATAAACTGGTGTTGGATTCCAACATAACCTAAATGGTCAAAACGGGCGACAGGCGACATCTGTTTGTAGTTGCTGCTGCTGTTGATGCTGCTGCTATTGCTATTGTTGTTGTCGTTTTTGTTGTTACTTCTGTTGTTGGCCGGCCAAACATTTTTTGCCAACGCCTGCATATCACTTTCCGTCAAATCCGCGGGGCTTTAAACAAGTTCAACGGGGCTCACATTGGGGGATTGAGCTGTGTGTTGCATTTATGGCTCTAATTAGCTACGCAGGCCGCATGCAAAGCAATGCAAACGATGTTAGTCAACCAACCATTCAGTCAGCTAGTCATCTAGTCAGCCAGTCGGCTAGTGAGCAACTGTTGCTGATCTCTGGCTAATGATTTCCACTGAAATCTGCCACACGTGCAACTTCACCCATGTGGCCAGTTCAAAAGGTTAAACAGCGCAACTGGCAAAAGTTCTGCGTATGCGACGATTGTGGCCAAGTGCAACAAATCATTTTGGGAACCCCAGCCAGCCGATCTTCAGTGCAAAGCCAACCAATTTGTGTTCCGTTGCTTTGCCGTTTGTATAAATCAATTGGCCAGTAGAGTCCGGGCAGGCATCCCATCCAGCAGTTCCAGTCCCACTCTTGAGTCTCAGTTACCGCCACAGTCGCTCTTCGATTTGACAACCCGCTGTGCGGTGTCTATTGGCATGGCCATCCTATAAATTGCCTGCCTCTCTGATCTCCACTGATGCATTATGTGTTTGGACTATGATTTTTCACTTGTTTTAGTGCGTGCGATCTGCGTCTGATTGTCCTATAAATTATAAAGTTTATTGCGCCCAAAGTCAGAGTACGAGAGTACGAGTATTGACCACGGCCCGCCGACCGCCAACAACCGCCCCCGACACTGATGGATTACAAACATCGTGTCTGCCGTTATCTATCGCTTGACTTACTACAAATATTGGTTTATCAAAATATATATATATATTTTTTAACATAAAATTTGTGAGTTATTGGTTACATATTTGCCAGGCGACTTTACTTTCGATTTCTGTACAAATGTTTGCGCAATTTAACGGTCAGCGGCAGTCGTTTATTGACTATAGGATAAGGACAAGTCAAGTCGAGTCAGTTGATTTAGCTGCGCCCCCAAGGCCTTGACCTGTGCGCTGAGGCATCACAATGCGGCAGAATGTCTAAAATGTGTACCGACAACAAGTTTTGCTGGGATCGTCAGGCCAGTTGTAGGAGCCGAGACACAAAGATGCCGACGACGCCACCGTCGCCCATTGCGCTCACTGCACCAAATTTGCAGCCCAGCAACATGGTTGCAAGGTATGTCAGCAACATGTTGTCTAGCAACAACTGACAATTGCTGACTGACTGACTAGCTGACTGACTGACTGAATGACTGCCTGGACAGGCAATGCCTGTTAGCGGTACCTTTAATTGCCTGGCTGCCCAAAATCCATAGACAAAATGTCAGCATAAGTAGCAGCAGCAGCAGCAGCAGCAGCAACAGCAACAGCAATTGCAAACTGGCAACTGACAACTTTGTTGCAGCAACAGCAACAAGCAGCAGCTGCTGCGTCAGCATTAATATTAATTAAATAAACGTTAATTCAGCGCATTAATGCGTAATAAATAATGCCACTTTGAGGCAAAAATTAATGCATAAACGCTACTTATCGCTGCCGACGCCACCGCCACGCACTTATCTGTGTCAACACAGCGCCAGAGGCAGCAACAGTGGCAACCAGCAGCCAAGTGCTGCTGCTGCTGTTGCTGTTGCTGCTGACAAACGCATTGTCAATAGGCCAGACCAATAGCAATATAGATCCGTTTGGCAGCAGTCGAGAGTCGGGAGTCCGCAGTGGATGGCGCGTTGCAATTACATGTCTGTGACAAGAATTTTAAATGAAAATCGCCAGTTGCCGCACTGTGCACAGTGGACAAATGATTCAAACTTTCGCATTACGTGTAGAAAATGTTTAAAACTGTTTAGCCAGTAGAGGCGCCACGCCAGGAGGCACCAATCGCAGCGCTTTGCATGCCCGCCAGAAGGAGCCTTCTATGGCGGCAAAAACGGCGACGCATGAAATTAGAAAGGCATTATTGCAAATCTTTCGCATTTGAGGTTTATTTATCAGCAATTTGTCAGAAAGTGTTTGGCCAGATGCTGCGGCTCAGATTAAAGTGCCCATGTCTCCGTCTACTTTCTAATGCAATTCATTGACACAACGCATTAAAAGAGTTACATTTCGTATCCTAAGGCGGAACATACTCCACACTTTTTGCGATTAGAACAAGGCATAACCAATTTAATATGTACGCTTTACCATAAGGCGACACCAGATAATTCTAAAGGTGATCTAGCCATTCAAAATGTTTAAATGTTAAGAAATTTTATGTCGATTTTTACGTTCTTTACAAATGATAGATATTTTAAGCGTAGGAAGAAAACAGTGATTCAATATATAAAATTAATTAAACCGTGTCCGTTCGTCTGTTTCAATAAACTTCTCGCTTCAAGGACTAATAAACGATAGCCTCACTAGTTTTTCCGAAATCGAAAAATATCGAGATTCACACTTGGTTATTCCTATAATGCCTTAGAGAATTCAAATTCGGTATTCAGGTTCTCTAATAAATCTAATATAGTACTCTTTTTGCATACATCGCCCGACTCCCCCATCCTGCCATATACCAACAACTGCAATTCATACTAAAATCCATAAAATCGGATTATTTTAGAATACACTAAAATATTTTAAAAAGTGGAGCAGAGTAACGAAGAAGCACATCCAACTAATAAAACAAATTACGAGCAACACCCTTAAGTAGATTTGCAAATTTTCACTCTATTTCATATAGCTCTAGCTCTAATGGCCCTTGTCTAAGACAGTTTGTGCTCTTCAAACATGTTCGCTAAACTTATTTTACAAGCCGAATGTGGTAATCAACAAACAGCAAGTCACTTATGTAAGCTCCGCAACCACCCTAACGTCTTGGCAAGAAACCTGCTAAGGAGACGAAGAAGGAGGCTTAAAAAGTGTTATCCTATAGACCTGGCCAAACGCCGACTATAATGAAGCAAAATTAACATGTACATATATATACACATTGTAAATATTTAACTTAAGCTTTCATTACCCAAAACTCACGCTGATAAAAGTTGCTAAAAGTGAAAAGTAACAGAAAATTAGCAAAAATAAAAGTAACTTAAACAACAAAAAAAAAAAAAAAAAAAAAAAAAAAAAAAAAAAAAAAGAATGTGGTAATAGCTTTGGGCTTACTCAAACTCCCATTCAAAATGCTCTCGAATATTTTGAAATCAGCTTTAACCGCAATTTAATGCTGTAAATCGCTGTTCTCGGTGGCTGTACCCACGCCTTAGCAGCAGTTGGCCAAGTGATTTATAGTCAAACATTTGTTCATGTTGCTGCCAGCCCGTGAATGCATTAGAATAGCCTGCTAGACTGGCCGTGCCAGGAGCAACATAATTCAGCAGCGCACCTTTAGTGCAGTTAACAAATAACATCAACTTATTAAATAAAGTTTCAATTCATGGCAACAACAAAACTGGAAGATGGCAACGCATCCAAGCGAACAGCGGCTACCGTACTGTGAATCTGGACATTAGACATCGGTGGGCAGTGGATGGAGGTCGCTGCAGGCGCAGCCACAATAAATCATCACATCGAAGGCATGGGCGCAGATTGGTAGATGAGGGGCAGCAGCAGGGGCAGGGGTGCCGGGTCTGGCTGTTGGACTGCCTCGGCTGGCAGTAACTGCGGCCAAGTTATGTGGCTTCATTGTGGACAGAATGAACGCTTTTAAGCAGACAATTGCAGCCTGCGGCGCTGCAGCAGCAGCAGCAGCGGGAATAGGAAGAGCAATAACGCCAACACGGCAGCAGGTAGGCAAAAACAGGAGACTGTGGCAAGAGATTGGTTAGCAGCTCCCACTGCCCCATTGCCATTGTTCAGCAGATCTTTGTAGCGCTTGTAGTTGCTCCTGCTGCTGCTGCTGCTGTTGCTGCAGTTGCTGCTACACATTTTCGTAGGCAGCGCTGTGCACATAAATCATTGACTTGACTCCAACTGCAACTTCGAATTGCCAGCTTGGCTGCAATATGAGTTAATTTTTGCCAGTTCGGTGCGGGGCCGCAAGCGTATTTGCGTATTTGTCAACTGCAAATTACAACTTTTTCCCACACGTTTGCCTGCCAGCCTGCCAGCCTGCCGCCTGCCTGCCAGCCTACCTATCGCTACGTTGACATACAGCACATGTGGGTGTATGCTGCGATTTATGGCACGCCTGGCATTATAAATTTTCTATTAACTCGCTAGACGTCAGACGGGCAACTGGGCGAGTATGAGATTTGCATTGAATGCCAGGCCAGAGCGAGGTTCCACTGTCTGCTTTTGATAGCGCATTATCTGTTTAAGGCTTTAATTTTGTTTGCCAAAAATGTACGCAAAATAAGTGCGAGAGACACAACGCCTTCTACGGTCTGAGGACGCGACGTCTCTTGACTCTAACTAACTGCATTTGCATCCAATTGACTTGAAAGGCGTTTCGAAGCGAATATCTGTGAATATCCCTGATGCTGCTGCTGTTGCAGTTGTTGCTGCTGCTACTGTTGTGGCTGGTGCCGCATCTCATTGAACCCGACAAATTGGTCATAATTTTTAGCAACTAAGTAATCCCAATAAACATGGCCCAAACATTGTGCACCTGACATTAAGCTGCCAAGCGTATAACTATACAACTACAGTAGAGAAAGACTTGGACTTGGACTTACAGTGAGCAGCAGGAGCTGCAGCAGGAGCAGCAGCAGTAGCAGCAGCCAATAAAATGCATTTATCTGTGCATCGATCAGCTAGAAACCTGTGTACCCAGGCTGCACAACTGTAGCGCATCGAATCGATTTGGCCAGCAGTCAAACATCAATTGCAAATTAACAGTAGTTAAAATCCAAATGAATTTGCGACTGCTGCCAATTTATGCAGCTGGCAGATTATGCCGTTTAATCAGCCAGTTCAAAGGTTGTCCATATACCTATTATGTGATTTTTGCCACAGCGCTGAAATATTATCAAAGATCCAGTCAAGCCAAAAAGATTATGATGGTTAAACGGGCGCCAAAAGGCGCGCATATCCATAAGATACCCACACACACAAACATGCGCACAGCTGTGTGTGTAGCTCTTGATGCGTTTGTTCAATCTGTAAGGCAACAGAGTCTGATTGGTTTTTAAAATTCACACGCTGCGTGCTGGTTATCGAAAAGCAACAGCACCAACAACAGCAGAAGCAATGGCTCGTGTATGTATCCGTCAGATACAATTTTGGACTGTGCACGAACTTTAAACTCTCACACCGACCAGTGATCGCCTTGCACGTTGGTAAATAATAATATTTCAATTGTACACACACACACACACACTCAAACCATGCATATTGCGTCACATGCAAAACGCTTATCGCTTAAGTATTCTATGGATACATCGCTTGTCTTCCTGTGTATGAGTGTATGAGTGTGTGTGTGTGTTGTTATCTGTGGGTGTAATTTTCTCACGGTTCAGTTTTCAGTTACTCGGACCTAAATTGCGTTTGCACATTTCCCTTTCTTATATTTCTTTTTTATTGCCCGCTCGCCTTTTCGCCAACACTTTTGTGGGTGATTACGAGAGAAATAAAAAAAAACACATACACACTCCACAGCACCTGAATAAATATCTTATCAGCGTTTCGTTTCGTTTTTCAGCACTTTATATCACATATTAATTTGATTTCTCAGCTCTTAGTTCTACATTCGCACTTCTGAGCGCCATAAAGAAGCGTGGGAATGCGCTAAAAGTTGTTGCAATTTCGAGCAATTGTTGTTGCTGCTTCCTAAGCAGTTGTTGTTATCGTTCTTGTTGTTGTTGCCGCAGCGGTTTGGCAGTTGACTTTTTATCACTCGCTATCAAGTGCTCGGATTGTTTGCGCACACTGCAAATAAACATGTGTGGCAAATCTCTTGCCACTAGCCTCTGGGAAATGTCAACAAAGTGGAGGCGATAACTATCCCACTAGCTGCCATTTTCAAGGTCCAATCGATTTGAGGGCGTTGTTGGGGAGTAATGAGGAATAAAATAAACTGCTTCAATTTGGGGCTTACGAACAGAGCTTGAACTGTTTTGAAACAAAGAATATAGCAAACTATCTAGTTGTCACAATCGTCATCTTTAGAAAACGACAGTATCATAAGATATGCAAATTATACTTCAACCTATTTGTATATATTTGCAAAAGTTTTATGAACCATTCCACCGTTAAAAACAGCCTCTAATTATTATAGGATGTTCGCTCTCAGTTTTCGTTAAGAGTATTTTAAAAATTAATTATTATTACAATGGAGCATTCTCTGCATGGAGAATTCTTCAAGACATTTCGTAAAATCTTAATCTTAATCGCATCTTGTATCTATCTGCTGACTCTGGTCAAAATATTAAACATGCAATAAATTAAAATAAAATAATCCATAACAAAAATTTATCAATTAACAAATTTTTGTGTCAAGTTTGATAATCAAATTTCTTTGATATTAAATGAGCTTGATAAACCTGAATTCAGCCGAGTTGGTTTAGGATATAAGATTCATACAGGATATTCATATAGGAAGCCATTTTGAGGATTTTCCTTACGTATATATATATATAAATAGTCGACTTTTTTATTTTTCAAGCTTCATTCACAATTTTTGGCGTTTCTTGGCTTGGTTATGCTCCTTTTACGTAAGGAAAATCCTAAAAATACATATAAATCTATATTACAACATAAGAATAGTCTTTACAAGGGGGTAAAAGCCACTAATCCTACCATGACAAGTGTGTTCTTTCTTAATAAATCTAAAAAGCATGCCACGATTTTGACAATTAAAATTCGTAGCATACTTTTGAGCTGGCAATGATAGCATAGCATACTCTTAGTCTGTCGTCGGTTTCATGGCTGATTGACCCAAAGCGAGCATTTACAGACACATTCCAATTGGATAACAATTGCAATCAGTCGCAATAGCCTCGAAAATGATTTGCTTGGTTTTGTTGTTGCTAAACTATAACAGAACTTACCCATTAAATGTTTGGCCATTTAAAATAATATTGATTACTAATATAAACACGATTATATAATAAGAGCAAACTTTGGAAAGGTACTAAAAGAATTGCTTTCGATTTATTTCTTGAATAATTTGTTTTGAACTATGTGAGTCCTTCATATAATGATCCAAAAAATAGATGTCACGTAAATTTGCCATAGAAATTATGAAATCATTCAATAAAATTCGAGTATTTTTTGAAATTCAATTTTATTTGCAAATTATGCAATTGATGTCATTTTGGATACGTATGTATATATTTGTAATATGTCACGAATAATTGAATAGGGCATAAAAATAGAGAAAATCAATGATATTTTAATAAACGAAAAATATAACAAAACTAACATTTTTTATGTATGCGTGTGTGTGTGTGTGTGTAACTTGCTTAACTGTCTGTTTGTCGGTTTTTGTGTGTAACTAATTTAGTTCAGCTAGGAACTAATTACAACTACTATAACTACGATATATTTTGTTGTCAAAAGATCACTACGTTTACGAAATCACTTCTGGAAGAATTCTCTAACGTTAATGCCACAATTATTTATGATAATGCGGCATCGACTAAATCAAATACTTTGTTTGGATGATGGTAGATTTAAAGGGTGAAGGGTTAGGAAGAAGGTAACTACAACAAAGTTGCCCGTTCTTGGCCTGAATGAAGTTAATGATACTATGACATAATTAATTTTCATGGTTTTAGTTTGAAATTTAGATGGGGTTGAGTATGTGGTAAGCTGGTGGATTGGGAACGTTGGAGTAAGTGTAGCAGAGGGAGAATCTTATAAAACTTTGGTTAGCCCTAAAATTAGTTAAAAACTTAACTTAGATATCCCTGTGCTTAGAAGAGTTTTATTAAAACTAATTTAAATTAAATTAGCGTAAACTTTTGGGCGGCTGCTCACTGTGCATCGCCCACATGGCCCCCGTTAAACTCAGCCTGAAACTCGCATATGCTCACATATGTACCCGTTACGAAGCCCACAATGCCAAACAATATCAAACCCGAGTTTTTCCACAACCGCCACTTGAAGCGACCATAGCCAGGATCCTCATTGTAGACAGCCAATTCAATAATCGCCGGCACCATCATGCCCAGCGTGCTCAGGCAGACGGCGCCAATGAGCGAGATAAATGGACCCAAATTGGGCAGCGCCACAGCAATGCCACAGCAAAGAATCTGTCAAATTCAAATTGATCAAGAGTTAATTTTTGGTAAAGTATCAACAGCAGCATGACTTACCACCAGGCCCACACGCAGTCCGTACTCGCTGATGTTCTTGCGCGCAGCAGGAATCTTGTTCTCAATGCCCTTCCACAGGATGCTGACTGGCACATAAAACTGCAACGTGAAGGTAAAGAATATAGCAATGGCAATCATTAGCTTAACGGATTGTGCCAATCTGTAAGAAGAAAAAGGAAATGAGTGCTGCTATGCGAGAGACCTTTAAGTCGTTGCGGATACTCACTTGTCTTCCAGGGGCAGATTCAGTGTTATGCTAGCCTCGGTATCGGGGCCATACTTGAGATAGCCAAAGAAGCCGACCAGTGTGTAAAGGCCAATGACCAGGCCCATGCCCAGATTGAGCACCGAGGGGCAGCCAATGAAGTGGTTGGGATTCTTCATGTCGTTCTCCAGGGACATAACTACACCGATGCCTTCCAGGGCAAAGATGACCGTGCCGAAGAACAGAGGCCACTGCACTGGCGAAACCACGCCCGCGCGCTCAGCTGGCGCTGGCAAGTCCGTAAACATATAGACGAACGTTATGACAATGCCCACAAACATCAGAATATTGGCAATCATCGAGAAGGGCGTCAAAAACTTCAGATTGCGCACCAGGCACATGAAAACCAAAGGCGCAGACACAATCACAATCCACAAACGCACGCTGAGCACAGTATCCATGTAAACGCCGACCACCTGTTGTACATTGGTAGCCACAAACACCAGATAGATGCAGCAGCAACCAAGCAGATCGATCACTAGAAACGTGTTCACCATGAAGCGTATGAAGCGGGACCAGCGATTCAGCGAGGGTGGACCATCCAGAAAGGCTTGTTCGGCGACATCTGCGAAGCCCATCATTGGAATCTTGCGACGCCGGCAGAGTATATGCGAGCACTTGACCAGCACGTGTACGCAGTAGGTGCACAAGGTGCCCACGAATAAGGTGGCCACCAGACCAAACCACAGACCGGCATTGGCAAAGGCCATGGGCATGGCCAGAATGCCTGAACCCAGTGAGCCTTTCAACAGATGCACGAAGGTTTCCAAATCACTGCGAAACGAAATGGACTCAAATATTAATTGATATAAACGCAGATAATTCTAATATCAAATAATATCTATAATATGCAAATCGTGTCCGGCTGCCAAAAATAAATAAACGCGAACTTAGGTTGCATTCAAATATTTACAAAAAATATAAGAGAGATAATATATAATAGAGAGAATCTTGCATATATTTTTAGATACACAGGCGCACACACACCGCAAATTCAATCTAATCAGAACAAAAAATAACTAATACGAAATTAATTATTTTGTTTAATAATTTATACGTGAATCAATTCTAAAACATGAATCAATCCCATTAAACCGCAAATAAAAGCAAACAAAAAAGAATCGAACGTAATTTACCAAACCCAACTTATGTTTGCCAGTGCACAACATGGCGCCGTGTCTGCCCCCGCCCTCTCTTTGCGAATTTCACACACATCAACAGACAACGTTACACATTTTGCACTGTAAACGAATCGTGCAGTATTATCTCGACATTTGCGTTTTTTTTTTTCGTTCTAATTTTCGCGTTTTCTTCTTATTCGTTTCTATTTGCGAATCTACTTTATTTTTAGTGTGAAAGCTTTTCAGCAAAAGTCCAAGGACAATGTCAATAAAATTGCAAATGTATTTCCGTTTTTTTTTTTTTCATTTTCGTTAAAATTACAACAAAGGCGGGCAGAGAAATCAAAGTCTAGGCAAAGTTCAATGACGTTAATTAATTAGTTAGTCATTGATTTATCTTAAAGAGCGTGCAGTTGGGGCAACTATCAGCTGTTTATATAAGATAATTCGAGAACGAACTATGCCAATGTTGTCACAGGCACTAAATGCGTTATCCAATCCTACACTTTTCCGTAAGAATATAAAGAAAATATAGTTTCAACATAAAGGATGTTGTATCCTTGCATGTTGCATGTCCTAACCCGAATATCATATACATGTATCTATCGGGATTTCCCACTTTCATTTCACTTAATTGATCGTTAATACTTACGATGTTGGGTGCTCCACTTTGCGGTGCTCGAAGGGATTATAGTGGCCATCCTCGCCATCATCGCCGCCTTTTTTGCGCGTCAACACCAATGGGAGGGTGGACCCAGCCGCCTGCTGGACTGGCACGTCGGCCATGTCCGAGCGTATAAATCTATCCGAGGATGAATACATTTCAAACATTGTAGTTGACGAATTGTTATCGATATTTTTGTACATTTTGCGCAACGCATGCACAAATTATCTTGTGGTTAAAGTATTTGATTCGTATGCGCGCTATAGCTACGTCGGCTACGGCATCGAAAACTAAAATGAAAGGCACTCACTTGGGCTGGCTTATGCTCGCATTGTTCCTGCTGCCATTTTTCTTCTCGCTGTCGTAGACCGTCACAACCGTCGGAATTTTCTGCAAAAGAGATCGTTGAGTGTTAGGCAATTGACTGAGAAATCGATAAGGTGCATTTGCAAGCAGAATGCAGAGCGCAGAAGAGCACGCGCACTTATGTAAAACAGCCAGCTGGCTGATCGAGAGCTGCAGCTATGCCAAAAATTATTTACGTAGTTCTGAGCAAGATCAGTTCAGTTTATGGCCAGCGTGGGACGCTGAGCGAGCTTCAATGGTTACTTGTTGCTGGATTTGCAGTCACATGACCTTGACAAACACTATGCGCAAAGTCAAATTTGAATGTGCATCAGCAGACACGAGTGGATCGAGCAATTTGAGTAATTCTTGTCTTGTTGTGCTGGTAAACAGAACGCCCGACAATGCAGCGTATAGAGACATTTTTTGGCAACACCCGCCGTATGCGCATTATTCAAGTTCAATAGTCAAACTATTATGCGGAAGAAGAACGTTGCGGTCACACACACAGCATGCCTATGGACTCAGTCGCACCTGCTGATTCAAACTGGCGCCGCTCAACGATGTGGTCATTAATGCAGCACCGCTCGATGGTGCCGGCGGTGGACCGCCCCGTTTTAGCGACATCTTCAATCTGTGGCGACTGAGCGCTGCGCTGGATAAACGCGTTTCTCGCGACCTGGGACCAAAGCTGCTCAGCTCGTACTCTTGCTGCTGCGGCTGCTGCTGCGGCTTCGGCTGACGCGGAGGCAATGGCGGCTTTCCGGCGGTGGCGTTCAGCTTGAAGGCGTTACGCTTTTCGTTGTCAAGATCAAGATAAAGTTCAAGAACAATTTTTTAAACGACATGCGCGACGTTTACACGTGCAATTCCAGTGGGACACAATACAAATCTGTTCGCGTCCACGTCCAATGTCGTCCGCTTATATGCACTTTTGTGGCCAAAATGAAAAGCGACAACTACAGCAGCCACAGCCGACACACTCAGAGAGTGGTCTGCGATCTTTTGCAAATAGCTTCAAAAATAAATAGTAGACACACGGGACACGGGCGCACACAATAGCAGAACAAGCTGCAACAGAAAGGGGCGCCTTTTCAGAACTGAGCAGCTATTTAGTGACGGGTTTTTTCAGAACGAGATTTTTCGGCATCTATAGTTCTAACAATATAGAAACATTGTTTGGGGTGCAGCAGCATTCAAAATACTCGTAAATGCCGTCATCAACTGCTTGGACTACTACTATTGTTTCCTATATATTCACACGTGCGCCGAGAGAGAGAGAGGTGCGCGCGGCTATTAAAAAAAAAAAGCACAATCTCAACGAGTGCTCCCACATATAAATTGATCAAAATCAGTGCGACGCCGTAAGCGACATGATACGACTATGCCATTTGCGACGTAAATAAAAATAATGAGGAAACTGTAAATTTGCGCAAAAAATGTGCGAAAAATATTTACGGTTGCAACAACAACAGCAACATAGACCTTAATTTCTGCTTTAGAAATCTCTTTTTGTTTTATTTTCAAGGGGTAAATATATTATTTAATTTTTTGGACAGCGATTTGAATTTATTAGAAAATTACACCATAAATTAACAATTTACTCAATTTGCTTGGGCTAGCAAAACAAACGCAAAAACATTATTTTTTTTAAAGTTGTTTTTTTCTTATTTATGAGATAAACGCACAAATTTCAAACAGCAAGAGACCACAATGCGTATACTTATTGCGGGATCACAGCTCCATCTATGAACAAAAACTGCAAGCGCACACTTAACAGCGGCGAATGCCACACAGCGCCGCGAATTAGGCAACGAATTTTTCAGCAGGTGAAAAACAATGCGACAAAATCGAACGGCTGCATAAATTACAAAGAATTATTAACAATATTTTTTCATGAAAGTTAGGTTTTTCTCGGTAATTAATAAAACAAATCAAAAAATTCCAACAATCGGCGTGATACAACATGCCGTATGCTTATTGCGTTGCTAGCGCCATCTATGAATTGTACACATAAGCTGCTTCAAATGTAACACAGTTGACAGCAGCAAGTGCCATATAATTGCGCGGCGAATTTAGCAACGAATAAATTCATTGACTAAGTTAAGAGCAATATGGAGAAATCAAATGGATACATTGTAAATACTTTTAAGATTTTATTGAGAAAGCAGCTTTTTCAGTTATTTCAGAGATATATAGACAAATTTCAAACAAACAGCATTACGTAACAACCGGTGTTTATTGTTTGCTTGTAATGCGCCATCTATGAAAATTTACCGCAATTTACTGCTACAAGCCCGCAAAACTTAACAGCGGCGAATTAAATCCACCTTTTAAATCTGTAATTGTTTTGATTTAGTTTTTGTCTAAGCGACAGAAAATAGGATATTAAGCAACTGAAGCTCAGACAATTTTGATTCCGCTTAAATATTAATATTTATATATTTCCTTCACTCTTTTATGTCGAATATATAATAAAAACACAGGACATTTAACATATTTTCAAGCTAATGAATCACTTAGTAGAACTTTCACAATTTAATGATTGAGATGTAGGACCTTTCTTATTTTTTATAAAATTTATAATTAAAGTATTTCTGCTATGCAAAGAAGAGAAAAGTTAATATTCTTAAAATTTAACTCTGTTATCGTTATATTCACGGCCAATTGGCGTGATAGAACTGCCTTGGCATATGCCAAAAGGCAACTTTACATTTTTACGCTTCAGTTGACGTTAGTTATGGACCACAGACAATTAAATGCCAAGCGCGCAAATGCATTAACAAACAATACCAAAATACAAGCATAAACAAATATAATCGCTGAGAAAGTCCGAAACTCAGAAACAAAAGAATCCCATAGTTTTTCAGTCGCATCATTTCAGAAACCTAATATACCTTATGGAGTGTTTTAGTACAGAGTATTACAATTGCATATAATCATCGCGTCGTATGGCAATTTCAGACTAAAAATAGTTTACGCAATAATAAGACAGCTGGGCTAACAGAAATTCAACTGCATTGGGGCGCCAGTTCATCTCAACTAGTCAGTCAGTCAATCAGTCAACCGTTTTGTCGCGTGCAACTTTACGAGTCGGAAACTATTTACAGTGTACAGCAATTATAACAACAAAAATACAAACATATTTGTATTGCGCTTGCATTTATTTTCCGCTTTCAGTGTGTAGGGTGTGCTTTGTGGGGAGCTCTAGAATTTGTACCCGCATTCAAATGGCGTCAACAGCTACCCAAACAGCGCAAGTCGAGTGAAAAGAGTGCAAAAAGTACAACTCGAAACATGTGCTCTAAAGACTAACAACTGATATGAAGCTTGAAAGCGAACTGCAAACAAATTGCAAGCGCTGAGAGCGGAGCGATCAACACGTGTCGTTGGTACGGTTCAAGTTCAATATGGTCAGAATTGCCATTAGCATTGCAAACTATGGCAAATTAGGAGCTGAAGAGGCCTTCATATGGCGTAGTGCTATATCCAGATGAACATGGAGCGTAGCATGCCAAAGGCAAGTCGGCAGTGTCCGACTTCGAGTTGACTTGGAACATAAGAACTTGCTTCCACTTTATGCATCAGATACGCTTTTTGTTCAATAACTTCGATGTGTATAAATCGATTTTAATAGCACACAGTTCTGTGTAATTACCAATGTCGCGTTGGATCAGGATATATGCTTTAAAAGCCAGAGCTTACTTTACATACCTTTGCAGAAAATCATGATACCCTGTCTTATATTTGTAGGTGAAGAAACTTTATAAAGAAGCTTCACAATTATTTGCAAACTGATTTACTTGTTACCCATGGAGATAGCTGTGTTATTATAGATATAGACACATACATTGTATAAGCGCTATGTCATAATAGCTATATAGATATATAGTTATACCCATTGTATAAACATGCAATCAGAAAAGGTTTGCAATGGGTGGTATGACTGTGTCGAGTATACATTATGTAAGACTCATTCTAAAACAAACATTCATGCCGTTTCCGGCCCTAATATACCCTAATAGACAGTCGCAGCTTTGGAAAAAAGTTGTAAATCTTTATTGCTAACTATTAAAAAGCTTTCCGGCTGTCGAATTTATTAATTTGGCAAATTATGCATAAAAAAGCTGACTAATGTATACGTTATCGATCATCATGAGTATCTACACACATGTAGTATAAGCGACTGACAAAGTTGGTAATTCATGAAACCTAATCAATATTGGATACAAATATGCTTTTAGCTTGTATCAGGTAGCTCACAACGTTTGCATTTCGATAACGATAACAAATGCTTGGAGACCTAAATAAGCAGCCACGTGGACAAAAAATATTTGCAACACAAAAATCTCGGTGTAATCTAGAAACGTGATGTTACAAAGTTTGCGCGCCAATACATTAGCAATAATTTTTATAAAGTGGTCTGCCGCTTTTTCTGGAATGACAAAATAGCCCGTACTCAACCCCTCCCCCTTGCCAACCCCCCTAAAATGCAATGACTAAGTTAGAAATTCGCACATTCGCAGGCGTACAACGCAGGCAGTTACATGCCTTCATGTGCATTTCTAATTATAACAGTCATGCCAGCTCCATAGCTCTAGAGTTCTATAGCTCTACGGGCTCTCCATAGTTTTTTTGCTGCATGCCATTGAACTTACATAAGCGAGTGGAGCAGAAACAGAAGCAGCAGGGAAATGAAATCGAAAACGGCAATAGCAGCACAAAGCAACAACAACAACAACAACAACAACAGCAGCAGCAACAACAAAAAGGCAAACAAAGCCAACAATTTGTAGTGGAAAATTTTTACAAAACTGGCTAAAATGCAAGCAACGAAATATGCATCACGTGGCCCCCAGCACACCGCTGAGCGAGGAAAAGTCGCTGAGCTCAGCAAAGGCAGCTCATTTCTAGCGAAAAACTGTCAGCAATCAGTCAATGCAAACACGTCAATTTATGGTTTGGCCTGTTCCCCCCAAAAATGTCATACGGGGCGTATGGCATCTGAAAAAAGCGCATTAAGGCGCCAACTATTGCCAGATAAGATAGCAAATGGGCCACATATTGTGCATGTGCCATACGACAGCATGTACGTATGGCATAAGATTTCAATATGCCAGCCAGAACAGGCACCAATCAGAGACATTGAGCATTGCCAATTGAAACTGTTTCAATATGCATGAATCGAACGCAAATCCCAGAAATTGGAGAACCAATCGAATGCTCAGTTTACCTGATGCCAGAACAAAATGTGTTGCAGTCAGGTTTCAGGTGCAGCGGCACTGATGCAATGATGCCTCATGCCTGCCATAAGGAGAGAATCAATAGAATCGAGAGTGTGCAGCAGTACAAAACGCAAATAATTGCACTACAATAGCTGGCGAGAGTTTGGTCACACTTCCAGAGTGCGACATGAATGCTTATGGCATGGAAAATTACCAAATGCGATCGAATTTTGCGCTGTGCCACTTAAAGAAAAGCAACGCAGCAAATTCATCGATGGCGCTTGCGCAGCAGTAGCACGGCTGAACGACTTTAAAGAGCGACTGTGCGACCGAGGGACAGACGAACGGTCTGACGGACAGTCAGACAGTCGGTCAGACAGACGGAGTCGTCAAGTCAAAGTACAACATTCCATAATTTTTGTGCATATTGCCACGAAATTGTAAACGCTCTGCTCAAAAAAATGTAAACCCTGAAAAATGCTGACGCAGTAGGTAGACGAAAGACGACGTCGGCAACTGCGGGCCATAGACGGTCTGTTGTATGCCCTACTTCGTCCCCTATCAAGTGCCCGCACCGAATTCGAATCCCAGCCAGGCAAACATAAAAGTGCAAGGCGCTCTCGCACAGGCTGCGAGTGGAAATTTCCACTGCTCATAAACAACAGCAAGAACAACAGCAAGAAAAGTTGCTCTAGGGGCGAGGGTGGAAATATGTCTATGTGTTTCTCATAGCAGCAACAATAACAGGCACACACGAAACCGAAACAAAAACATCCCCGAAATTAGACTTCAGTTTTGGAACTCCTTAATTTGTTATCATATCAAACAGAGTAAATGATATTTGCATGCGCCAATTTGACCTAAAGTCGATCAATCAAATGGGATCAAAGGATTATTGGAGAGTTAAGAGCTATCATTAAGATGAGCTGATATAAAGACATTTGATTGAGTGTGTCACATGCAGATGATTCACTGTGTCGGGGAATCAAATAAGACCCATTTATGGATAACAACAGTTAACGGGAATTGGTGCTAAACCAGAAGTTTAATTTGATATGTTGTTAATGTTTGGTTAGTTATTAGGCAAATGTCTAACAATCAGATCGTTTGATCTTGAGGAGTAACTCTCAGCTGATTAGATCGAATATATCTAATAAGATCAGAACTGTCAATATAGAAAATATTTATGGAAATGTTCTTTGAGCTTAGACAAATCGATGTTGACAGCAAATTTCTATCCAGTGCATAGCATTAACCCCCTCTGAAGAGGAATGCCGAGCGGTTCGCTGATTAGCATTAGCTCGGAACGGGGTCTTCCACCCTACCTTGATGGGCAGGGTAGCTACTTACGGTATATTCCGCCGGTGCCAGCGGCGTGCGTGAATCGCTTTTGTGAAAACTCATTTTCACCGCAGCGAAAATCCCGGAGGTGGTGGTGTTATCCTGTCGGCAATGGCAACTGTCGCGCGCTTAACGTATTTTGTAAACTCTCGGTCAACGCGTTGCGACGCGTTTTCCAGCAATTTCCAAACACTTTTTACAATACAAAATAGAATTTAATGGGGGAAATTTAATGCAAAAATTGAGACTTGATTTTCAATAATTTTGTATAAAGATAAAATGCAATATTACTAATGCAACTCTCAACGACTTGCGACCGGTCAGGTTTTGAAAAATTCGACGTATTCAACTTTTTTTTTTTTATATTTGAGTTTCTTGTTCTTGTTAGCTGTCGAGGGAAATTTAAAACGTTGCCAAGACGTTGCAAAGAAAATTTAAAAGTTCTAACAACCGCACAGTTTGACAAACAGAACAAGAATGCCAACCTTCGCGTAAAAACGAGCGAGTAAAACACCCGATTTGACAATTTGACGTGCAACAGCAAACAGCAGAGAGAGAGAGAGAGAGAAAGAGTGAGAGAGATAGAGAGAGCGAGCGTGAGAGCGAGAGAAAAGAGAATGTGTGGCAGAGAGCGGAGAGCCCGTGTCTAGTTCCGCGTTTGATAATGAAAAGTGCAAACTTGCAACGTAAGAAAAGGAAACTTGTTCGGCTCGCATATATGGGCGTTCCGGGGACTATCCAATATTTCCACTTTAAAATCAGTTCCGCTGCACTTGGACTTATTTGGCATATGAGTCACACGCTCTCTAGTTTTCCAGAGAGCACACATTTCAGATAGTAAAAACAATCCGAATCAGTTATTAAACAAATCTGAACTAGTCAAACCTAAGTGTAGACTGCCAATACCCTGTAATACCCCGGAAGCTAAAACCGATTATTTTACTGAATGTAATAAAATACACATTACAAAGCTCATTACAAAATGTTTACCCAATCAATAAATACCGATAATTGTTAACGTTTAACTAAATGCTAAGTAAATAGACAAGGCAGACAAGAATGCAAAGTAAGAGAGAGAGAGAGAGGGAGAGAGAGACTGTTAAGGCTACACAGTAAAATATTAGCCATAACTGTCTATTAAAGCAGCCTACTATTATTTATATCGTGAAAAATATTCTTTTTGCCTAACTAGAAATATTGTAAAGTATTCTTAGCACACCTTCTGAGCCTCTGTCGTCATAGGGTATAACTAATATGCAGACATTGCAGATAAGGCCGTTCGATACACGGAAAAGTCTCAACAATATGCATGGCAAATAATGCGCTAATTAATTAGCGATGCCGTTAGATAAGACAGGGCCCAAAACAACAAAACAACAAAAATAAAATAAAATAAAAAAAATAGGAACGTCGCACATCCACACGATATACGTCAAAGGGTGCTCACCAAGGGAGCGAACCTATATACAACTGCGCAAAACTGTGTGTGGAACGTCATGAAGTTGGATTCTCCGCTCTGAAATTGTGCAAAAACAGAAGAGTTTCATATAGCTCGCTCAATTAGCTGGCAATTAAATTGTGTGACGTTTACCCCAAGCAAATTATTGGCAATTGATTGCCGAAAATATATAAAAAAGCAATGCAAGGGCCGGCCATCCAGACATTCAAGGCGGAATATATGTATATTAATAGAATTGAATACGTTTTCGTATGTTAATCGAAATGTGTGCATGAAACAAGTGCAAATTTGAATCAATTTATGTACGTTCTTTGCGGCGCATTTATTTATGTGTAACTCGAAACGTGCCAGCTGCGTCGAGAACGTTGCAAATATTGAACTGATATCCAACTCGTCTAACGTTTAACCAGTGCAAAGCGGTTCGATTTGAGCATATGGAAACTTTTGTGATTTGTATTTATTATTTATCATTTTCCAAGTAAAAGTCAATTGAAAATACGAAATCGATTCAACTTGACCGAGCTTAGACCTTTAAAAAGGAAAATCATTGAGAAAGCTGATTAGATAAAAACGACATTGAATTGAACTGAACTCTTGTCCTTGCATTAATCAAATTCACAAATCAAAATAAGTATATTTATTACTTAAAGGGTTGAATCGCGGCAAAGGTTTCAGGGGCGAAAGTTAAATATTTGTCCGATCAACATCGGACATAATTTTTAAGCTCTTCCCACAAAACAGCTTAAAACTTGTTTGTTTTTTATCCGACTCGTTTCAAACTCAAACAATCTTGTTCAGCATTAACAACCAATCTACTATTTGGGAGCTTCCAACTAGAAAGCGTTTACATATGTGTTACAGAAAAAAAAAAAAGATTTTAAATCAAGTTTTGAATTAAAAGTTTAAAATATGGTATGACCCTAAATTCAATGCAACTTAATTGTGTATACAATTGTTATAAAATCAGACGATCCAGAATTTGAACTATTGTGCCACCTTTTTCAAATATCTGTTACACATTCAGTTGCGACGCACAATAATATTGCATACTTTGATGCGCAGCGGCAACCAGCGCCACCTGCCGCTTACTATTGGCGAACCGTACGAAGTAAAGCAACGTTTGCACTCGTCAAAATTGAGGCACTTAACGAAGACGAAAAGTGCGCAGGTTTGGCTGTACATTGCGCATACGCCCCTCAATACATGAGATGTGTGTTTTGAATGCGAATTATTTTTGCTTAAAAAATATGCTTAAAATTGGCTTGATTTTTGTGACCTTTGCAGCGATTTAAGCACATTTTAGCTACTTAACTTATGGAAAAACATAACGACAGAAACAAGTTGACACACTTGTAGAATAAATCAAAATCAAGTCGTACTTGAGTGCTTATTTACAGCAATTCGTATCAACTGAAATTAAAATTGTAGCTGCGTGCAAATTAGTTTTAAGTTGAGCTAAAATTTAAGAAATTTGCATACAGAACAGTCGGACGCATATAAATGCATTCTAAATTTAATCCGACAACCGGTTGCATACATTTGCCGCGATCATTTACAAAATTATATTTTTTTAACGAGCACAAAAGAGTATTCGAGGAGAGTTCTCAATGTAAATGCTTAAGTTTCAATAAACAAAAATGTTCTTATTAATTATCAGCAGCAACGTATTACCTAAGACACGTAGCACTTATGTATGCAAAACACGCGTGCCATGTGCGAAACGGATTCACATTTAATGCACAACACAATTAGTCAAACACATTTCCATAAATTGATGACGTATTTAAAAAAAAAACCCCCAGACACCGTTTTCAATGGGTTTAACCCGCAAGCTGTTGACCATCATTTAAAACACACTATCCTGCTGTGCATTTCAAATAAAGGTTACCGATCGTTGATTCAGAATTGATGTTTTCACAGTCAATAACATCCTTCACATTGCTTTCAAGTCTCACCTCACCATCAGCTGACATTTTGGTATATTATATGCTATGAGCCTGTTCTCTTCCAATCACAAGTCACAATGCGTTGAGTTCAAGAATTAATGCAGAACTAATTCCTGGTCGGCACTTTCACTCGCGAAGTAATATTGGTCAGTCGCATATCTGTGTGCGCTATTATCCGCAATTGACGATCATCAGAGTACAAAGTGCTTGGCAACTTCAATGACGAGCTTAGTTCATTGGTATTATCATTAATTAAGCAATTTCGCTATCTTTGCGCTTACAGACAGAACTCTATGCATGTTTGTACCGCCGATAACGCAGCCAACACTGAAGATCACAAGCGCCGGTGTTTGGCATGCCGCAAGGCTCGTCGGGCCAGTAAAAAGAAGAAAATGGCTAACCGTGCACCACATGTTTATTTAATTAAAAATCAATGTATTCCCATAAACTGATTAGCCCATTTTTAGTCATTTTTAACCATTATCAGTTATCCAATTTTAAATATGACTACAAATAAAGTTGTGATTCATGATGCTGAATCATGGCATTGAACTATAAATAATCCTTTATACATAATTCAAAGTATTTGAAAAAGTCAATACGTATACGTATCAATGCTCAAGTAATGTCTAGCTGCAGCTAGAATAATTAAAAATAAGAAGTGACCAACAGCTGCCATAAGAAATGTTGGTATTTTACGAAATTTTGCTTAGAAAGAAGTTGTGGTGTTTTTTTTTACTTTAAGGAAGCAAAATGCTGTGCTAATTTCCATAATTACTGCCTGTCGCAAGCAGATCAAGCTTATGAGAAATAAATAATTGACTCTGTCTCGACAACCCCACGCTGAGAAGTTTTTAATAAGCACGCAACACTTTACACAACACATTCTCCAGAGCATATGTTTAATAACATTGTTGCTAATAACGACTTATCAATTACATTTTGTTCTACCTTTATTTGAGTCATTTTATTAATCCATTCAAAGCACTTGAAGGTAGCGACGCTGTTCGGTAATCAGGCGGTACAATACTGTTTTGCTACTGCCACTTCTGGGCATCATATAAGCTGCCATTAGGCAGTCGAAATAACGTGAGCTGATAAGAGATACAACTGAAGTGTCGTTAACATTGTTTACTGTCAGTTAACTGACGCCTCTCTGGCCCAGACGAATTATATTCAAACATACACTGTTTGCCAACTATTTTGTGTTTGTGTCAGTCAAGTAAATTGCAAACTAAAGGACTCACAGATTCATTATCATTTTCATTGATTTATATATGCCTAATACAAGTTTAATTATGTCAAAGCTGGGCACACGACATTCTTCGTTTTGATTAGCTCACAATCAGCATTGATATACAATTACCAATTCATAAATATGTCGCGCACAATCGACCAGCTAATAGCGTCCACTGATAAAACTGCTGTGTATCACAATTTTGGGGAGTATCTTGGCACTTACAGTTCCATTATTGTGTTCGGCAGCTGATCCACTAATCGTAGCCAGCGTCATTTTTAATCACGTTCTTTTTGCACTTTAAATTCGTAAAACAATTAAATTAAGTATACTGCTTGTTGTGGCGACTGTTTGTTGTTTTTGGGACGATTGGCGTGCACCGAATAAAAGCGCAAATCTTACAATACATTCCGTTTTAAATGCAATGTTAATACCAGTGTACTCAACAATTAAACAATCAAAAGCACTCAAAACTCGCTCGCAACTCGAGTGAGTTATACTTAGGCAGCCTGGTTGTCCCACATATTGGAATTTTGTTTTGAGTCTGAGATCATGCGGAATATACATAAAATGCCTGGCAATGGCTACGGCTTAACATTAACATTGAAATTACACTTGCCAGCCAAATGGCAATACTTGTCTGGTTTGCCACAATTTTTGTTGTTGCTGTTGTTGTTGTTTTTTAACTTTATTTTTGCTCTTATTGGAATAGTCTCAGCGCATATATTTGAGACACAGACAGCGAAACGTGCGAATCGACTCAAAAATCCGTCAAAGTTTCTTAACAACTTAGCTGATAAAATGGAGATAATTGTGTAGGCCAGCTAAAGCAGCGATTACCCATTGCTTATCTGTGGTGTTAAATAATAATTAACTATCTAAAATTTTTCACTCAGATTAGTTGGAGTCGTTTCTCATTCTATCGCTCTTGGCACGCGGCTGCAAACCAACTAATTTAAAAGTAACATTCGTGCTAAACGTGCAATTGGACAGAGACGAGCACGCAAAAAATGCCTATAACTTAACTATTGTTAACATTTGAGGCATTCCCTGAAGTCAAACAAAAAATTAAAATGAAAATGGAATAACTATTACAATAATTACTCCATTCAAAGGGCGTAATTAAATTTAAAAAATATGTTGTTTTTGTTTTTTTTTCTTTCCAGAATCCAACCATGTGCAGCACATGTTAAATCAAAATAGTACTTTAAAAAAATGCAGCTCTAAATTCTCATTTCCTTTAATTGTGATTTTGGAGCGGGAGCAAGAAATAAATCAAAATCACCCAGTTTTACAGTTTACGTTAAACCGAAAAGCGCTATGCGCAATTTTTTATTTATACTTTTTTCAGTTGCACGCTAAATTTCTATTAAATATATAATACGTAAAATAGTTGAGATATGAGTGCGCCCCAAATTGACAATAACAAGGTAATCATTCAATTAGGCCAGCTTATAGAACCACTGGCATATGGCAGATGAGCCAAGGGTGGCCAACAGCAAGATTTCAATATCACAATAATGGAAACAAAGAAGCATGCTCCAAAATTAGCAGCACAACACTCTCTTCAATATAACGAAACAAATATTTATATTTAATATATTACACAATTGTTAACTTGTACTTGAACACGCTGGCGACCCCTCACTAAGGCCAAAGGGCAACTTCGCCACGGTTCTAATATTAAGCCCGTGTCCCAAGTAAACGACGCATGTTTATTGTAACAGAGCACAAGTTCATGGCGAAAACAATTTTCAATTATGTACTTATTTCCATTTAAATGGAGATGGGTTTTTTTATTTTGCTTTTTTTCTTTTAATTTTTATTTCTATATATTTATGGCTAGCATCACAAACAAATCAACGCCAATTACAATGTGGCTGGTGTTGTGCATGTTTTTCATATTTACTCGATTTTCGCGTGTAATTATTAGTTGTAATTCATATATATTTGGTTTTTCGCATGCCACCCTGCAAATTAAATCTAAAAATGGCTTAATTAGCGTGTGTTTTAAGCGAACCCAATGATTGCTCCATTTACGTTTCGGTTAAAAGGTTTTTTTCCCCTCTTTGATAATGCTGATTAAAGTGGTTGAAAAATATGTTTTGTCTAGGGCAGCATCTGTGCCGGAAACTGTCAATTATATTTTAGACTATTTCACACTTTATATGCATACGAAAATCCACTCTTAATTAAGCAATTTAGTTTTCAATAAAAAACACAAATCAAATTCATAATTTAATTACTTTTACAGCAGGTTTCAAGCGCCTGAAACCCATAAGGGAAACCCGAACAGCTCGATAATTGGTGCTAATTTATCAAAACTTTTGAAGGCAGCTCTTAGCACCTGATGTTTAGCGATGAAGCCATGCCCATTTTAAATGGATTAACTCGGTCACCGCCATAGATAATACGCTTCAAAGATGTCAATCCAATAATAATAATGTGCGATGTGCGTAGATCGCAATTGGGCAGCTGATCAGGAGTTGATAATATTTGATTTGCACACTCGAATCGAATGCTCATATGAATCATGACCACCTACTCTACGCTGACGTCACAGGTAAAACAAGACCAACACGAAGATATTGGGGTAGACAAGACTACGTCAGAGTCGGGGTAACGCCTGACCGGTTTTTGACTGACGGGCAGCCAGGCAGGCAGCAGCTAGACATGGCTATGGGCTAATGTTTAGCCGGCTTTTGGTTATACTCGTAGTCGCATTATATGGTTGTGTGTGTGTTCGATATACACGAATCTGTAACACACGGCGTATGCGCAATGCATGCAAAATGATTGGAAGGCCGCCGCGTAAATGAAATTTGGCGCAAACTCGCGAATTCTCTTTACCCCAAACCGGTTGCTCGCCTGAGAAAGTGCATTAAGGCAGTGCAGCCCCAGTGCAGCGTACAAAAAAAAAATAAAAATGTAAATTGCAGATTTTGGCAACAACAAAGCTGACTGCAAATTTAGTTACACACCGTGGCAGTTAAATACACCTTACACCTCAACTTGTACTGGTTCTTTATGCAGTCTTGCCATAGTTACGAGTATCCAGCAGCAGCAGCAGTCGAATATTTGGCAACGACTTTTTGTGCTTGGCATGCCAAGACTGGAAAGCGCTCAGAAAGAGTGTGAATTGCATTGACTGCACAGCTGAAAAAGACAACACGCACATCGTGTTTACACGATCGTAGTTGCTTATTTGTCATGCCATCGATAATGTGACAACCAAGAGTGCGCATCGTACAGCTACTTAAGTCTGTATAAAGGTACTTATTTAAAGAAAATATTCAAGGGCTCTGACTCGTATAAGTAATGTTGCCACAATACGGGCATCGCAAAATGCTTCAAATGTACCTGCAACACATTTAATTAGAGACTGAAAAAGTACCTGACTAATAAAAAAAATATTATATTATTGATTATTATAATTATTATTACTATTAATATTAATATTTATATTAATGTTAATATTATTATTATCATTATTATTATTATTATTATTATTATTATTGTTATTATTATTATTATTATTATTATTATTATTATTATTATTATTATTATTATTATAATTGTTTTTATTATCAATATAATCAGTCGTAATTATGAACAATCTATCTATATCCCAAATTAAACAGGCCCTTGTTTAAATCGTTACATGTTCTGGCTTTCGAATGCAAATTGTCGTCCTCAGTTTTCTGCATGACTTAGTGACATAGCGTATCTACCGAGATATTTTAACATTTCTTCTGATAACGTAATATGATAAATCAATCAATTGGTTCATTTTATTTAACATTCATATGTATCAAGTTGGTATGGGCAGAATACGGAAACTCAAACCCCTTAAACAGTCTTAAAAAGCTCAAAAATATGCTTTGAGCTTTAGTCAAAGTATGTACAATTTAGCTAAGGCCATCAACGCGATCAACTAAATGCTATATATACATATGTATCATATTGTTCATATGACATCTTACTCTCTGCTCTCTGTTATTTTCGTTTGTTTTTTCAACTTTTTCTCAACACACGCACAATTATTACAGTGGATTCTGTATTGCTTGACGTTACTTAAAAATTAAGTTACATTTTGTCAGTGGATGTGATATTTAATGCGCCTGCTGTTGATGTTGTGGCTGCTGCAGCTACCCCGTACCCTGAGAGAACGAGTATTCATGAGTGGTTCGTTGGTTAGTTGGTTGGTTGGTTGCCTGCTGCTGGCGTTACAATCGGTGGGCAACATTTCGCGCACTGCATAAAACCGGTGACCCACGTTGGGTCCGATTTAGTCGTTAGCGCGCGGGCAGCTTGATCACATCGTTTGCAATCGTAGATCGCATCCGTCAGATACAGACAGCTTGACACCTGCGGGAGGGCGGCTTTCGTTTTGATATCGGTTCACCAATGTGTTTATCCAATTTATTGGTATTTGCGAAAAGTTCCTTAGCACACTTATCAAAAGTTTAAGCTGCATCGGACCAAATTCGTATTCTGACAACTGTAACTTTGTGCTTTAAGAAAAAAAACAAAAACACATTGTTTTTCCGATTCAGTTATAGTTTTAGGTAGCAATCTGTTCCTAGGCCATCGGTAAGTTGGATTTGTAGACAGTATCTTAGTATCACATTCCAAAAATGTTTTCGGCTAATTAACAACGGAAGTGTGACAGCGTTTGCAAATTACTAACTAAGCGAAGCTCGAACCTCTCTCCAAAAACTCAGTGTCGAGCTCGAGTGCACATTCTCAGTGCGGGCTCTGATAAAGCGTGATGAGTGAGTGAATGAAACTAGCTGAAACGTACTTTTGTAAATTTAAATTAATTGCATTTAAAATTAGCACAACAATGCGTCGAAATCATTGACTAAAATGAAAAAGTGAACTAACAATCAGCATAAAATAAAACCGAAGGCAATTGTTTAAAGCTTGAGCTGTAAGCGGAAAAACTATAAGAAAATGGGATGACTGTCAATTAGCAAGTTCATCGCTGAACATGTTTTAAATTGTTTAAAACATTAATTGAATTAAATACTAGAAGCAAATACATTAATCCTTACGAAAGTCAGCTTTAAGCTGCTTAAGAATTGTTTTTTTCTTTTTTCAATAAAACCAGTTTTAGCAGGAAATGATTTTTATAATTTTTGCATTATTTTAAATATAGCATCATTTTAAAAGAAACAAACATTTATGAATTAATGTGAAATTTACAAATATTATCAAAATGAATGACTTGATTCTTTACATTTGTAAAGATGTGTCCAAAGTTAAAAACATTTTACAAATTAAAAAACGATTGTTCAAAGTTATAAAAAAAAAAAAAACGACTCGTAAAGGAATTTTATCAATTTGAACAATAAAAAATCCATCAATCATACCTGTCGAAAGGTGTACGTCCTTCTCATCAGGGATATCTGACAAATGCTGAGCGGTCAGCTTTGGGCTAAATATCGATTTGAAATATAATTCATATGTCACTCATTAAGGCCTAATTGAAATACTTAAATGTCCGTTTAAATCAGGCTTTGCAAAATAAAGCCGCATCAGTTACCAACTACAAGTTGTTAATATATAATCTGATATTTTGCAAATGAAAGAGAACTTATACAACAGCACAGCATTTTATTTGCATAGTATTTGTAGTCTAGGCATTCCAAATGACCGTTTAATTAAATGTATAAATATTTACGCGATAAAAATATAAATAGTGAGCTGACAGTACAGTTTGTGTTGACGGTAATGAACCGACCGGTCACTTATATCCCTTTTAAAAGATTTTGCTTGCAATTTGCGTAGTTAAAAAACAATTACTTTTGTGATTCATCGAATGCAACTATCTTTGACTAGAACAAAGCAACTGCGTTACGTTTTGCCAACTCTAAGTTCAGCAAATTTGAGTAAATAAGTGTTAGACAAAATGCGGAGCAAGGCCAACAACTTTTTCAAGCTCAGAAGCTGCTGTTGATGCCGAGAAGCCGTCATCAGCCAACAGCGACCAATTGATATTGCGAACACGACGCTGACAAATGACTTTTGAATTTCAATCACAAATACCACACCAGAAAGACCGCTAAGGCCGGACAGTAAACCTGGCGCATTGAACTCGCCCACGTCACCCGATCTCAAGACTCTGGCACAATATGTCGCGTGCCGATCGAGTTTTAAGTTATTGTTTATATTTATTATTATTGTACTTCACGTGCACAACAGCCAATATATATAGATTGTATATTTCAAGTTGTTTTTTTTTTTCTATTTTATTGACTAAAACCAAATTTGCATTAAATAGTATTGCGCATTTGGGCAAAATCACTTTTGATTTGTGCTATGTCAGATGGAATTTATTAAACGTATAATGTCTTTGGCGGGCATACAAGTTTTTCTTGCCTCTGCTTTTGGCAAAAGGTTCGGTGCGAGTGACAACAACGCATCCAGTTTGAACCGGTTGCAGTTTCATTAATAAAACAAACTATGACGTTTTTCATTTGCTTTATTTTCTTTAAGTTTCGCATAAATTATTGAAGAATAAATTATCTTAAATATTTCTGCGAATTTTGCTTCAGGTAAATTCGGTACAACAACTAGAAAAAGTGCGTACGGTGATGGTTTTTTAAAAGGCAAAATATTTAACAAAAAATAAACAACTTAAATTTTATAGCGATACGTAAGCCAAGTATAGATTAGAAAGTTATCAAGTGCTGTGCCGTATTATCCGTGTTTTTTTTCATAAAATTTCAAATAACTTGTATAATTTTTTTGTAATTCTTGAAGATATGCCTGCACAACAATTTTCCATAGTCATTTGGTCGTGACTTCCGCATATCTCAGACCTGATTGCTGGGTACCACATAATCTTGGCTAGAACGCAAAACCAGCTGTACTTGAGAATTTGCATCGTTTCTACTTCCGCACCAATGTGGGTGTAAAAAACGTAGCTCTTTGAAATTTTATTGTTTCGTAAAGCCAAAATCAACGCGACAAACTTCGAGATGAATCAGTTGCACGACCTTCTGCCTCAGTTTACAACACAAGTAAAAATTTGTTGGAAGTGAGCAAATGCATTTGAAAACGCTTTAAATAATACACATTACATAGCATGCATGCATTCAGCCGATTCTACAACTATACTTGGATGTAGTACATATGTGTGCAAGTCAAGAAGTCAATTTGTACAATTGAATATAGTAATAATTGCACACACCACTCGCAAAACCGGAAAAAGTGTCGTAAATCCACAAGTGTGCTTGGATTTGCCAAAATTTCCATTTCTCGCTTTTGGGAATCTAAGTCTGAGACTAGGGTTTTATCTCAGTTGAGATCTAGTGCCTAATAGCGGGGCAATAAAACTACAAATTGTACATGTCAAACGAAAATATTTTCTAATTAAGACATGGGCAATTGTTGTTTGCTGCTTGATGTCCAGCTAAATAATTGTTTTGTCTTATAAAAGGGGTAACGGTAACAGCTAAATAACTATCCCAAACGCTAAATAAAATCACAACAAAGTCCCGAGCAAAGCCACTCACAAGTGACAGTAAAATTGGCTGCAATTACAAAATGTTAGCACGTTTCATTCACGACAAGTTGCTGACGATGGTGTGCACACACTCACACTCACACACACACTTACACTCGCAAACCCACTCAAAGCCGACACAGAAAAGTCTGTGTATGCCCTCATGTGGCTCATATGACGAGGGCAACGATTCCGTCCCACTGAACTTGACATTGCGCTGGGTCTGCTTTTAATTTAGAAATATATCAAGCTATTTTCAGCTGCATTTGCTGTGCTTAGATAGATCGTGATCTCTATGGATAGTGTCAGCAATTAAATAACTTGCTGCGTGACTAGCCTTTGATTATAGTCCCATTACAAATGAGATTTCGCTGCAATCCTCCGTTTTTCTTCTTCTTTTTTTTTTTTTTTTTGTAATGCATTTCTTTTTTTTCGCTCTTGGCCAGCAATGAGTAAAAATGGACACAACAATCCGGCATTTGTCAGCGATCATGTGGACAATGTCAAGCAGCAGAGCGGCAACAAATACTCCCTGGAGCTGGCGGAGAAGGGTGCGGCTAAGGATCCCGAATACAATCCCTACGAGCATCGTGAGGTGCCACATCCAACAACGTAAGCCACATTAAACATGCCAAAAGCCACTCAAAACCAATATTTCTATGCCACCAATAGCAACTGGGAAACACTATTCCATTTACTAAAGGGCTCTCTTGGCACAGGTATTCTGGCCATGCCGAATGCGTTTCGGAACTCCGGTTACGTAACGGGCTCCATAGGCACCATTGTGATTGGTTTTATATGCACCTACTGCATACACCAGCTGGTCAAAGCCGAGTATGAACTGTGTCGGCGCAGGAAGGTGAGTTCATGCCAATTTGTACTTTTTTTATGATAGCACTGTCTGACTGTTTATTTGCCACAGGTGCCCAGTATGAACTATCCAGCTGTGGCGGAGACGGCGCTGAGTGAAGGTCCCGCTTTCTTTAAAGCCTGTGCACCCTATATAGGCACCGTAGTGAATGTATTTCTGCTGATTTACCAGCTGGGCACCTGCTGTGTTTATGTGGTGTTTGTTGCGTCCAACATCAAGTCCATTGTAGATGCCGTCTGCGATACGAACATAGATGTGCGTCTGTGCATGATCATCATATTGATTCCGCTGATACTCATTAACTGGGTGCGCCAGCTAAAGTACCTGGCGCCCTTCTCCACACTGGCCAATTTCATAACTATGGTGTCCTTTGGCCTCATTTGCTACTATATATTTCGGGAGCCCGTCACAACTGATGGCAAAGAGGCCTTTGGCAAGGTGGAGAACTTTCCACTATTCTTTGGAACGGTTTTGTTCGCATTGGAGGCCATTGGCGTCATATTGCCGCTTGAGAATGAGATGAAGTCTCCACACAAATTTGGCGGTTCCTGCGGCGTTCTGAATGTATCTATGATATTGATTGTGTTCCTGTACGTTGGCATGGGCCTGTTCGGTTATCTGAACTATGGTTCCAGTGTGCTGGGCTCCATTACCCTAAATTTGCCGGAGCACGAAATGTAAATATACCTTTAACATTGTTTTTGACTTAAAATGATGATTGTCTATTATCCTAATGCAGTCCAGCTCAGTGCGTTAAGGGCATGTTGGCCTTTGCCATCTATATCACACACGGTCTGGCCTGTTATGTGGCCATCGACATCACCTGGAACGATTACGTTGGCAAGAAGCTGGGTCCACAGCGTAACAAGCTATTCTGGGAATATGCGGTGCGTACGGGTCTTGTGCTGATCACGTGTAAGTAGCTAAATAATTAGCTAATGAGCCAACAAAGGTTTATAAACATGTGATCGTCTTGTAGTTCTCCTGGCCGTAGCCATACCCAATTTGGAGCTCTTTATTTCGCTTTTTGGCGCTCTTTGCTTATCCGCGCTGGGATTGGCCTTTCCAGCTCTGATTCAAATATGCACTCACTGGTACGAAACAAGCGGTATGAGCAAGGGCTGGCTGCTGTTAAGTGAGTATTAAAGCCGAAGTATATGAACATAATTATTTACAATTTATTCTTAGGCAACTTTGTGCTAATTATTGTGGGCGTTCTTGGTCTTGTAATTGGCACGTATACCTCTCTCAAGGAGATTGTTCTCACATTCACTGAGTAACTGAATATTTTACAATTGTTTTTAGTCATAAATTTGTTATTTTTTTCCTTCGAATTTGCCGCCACGCATTTCAGTTGTCGTACAAGCAAAGTATTATGCACAAAATATCCAATACAAAATCGTTAAAAATTCTCATCCTCAAAAGTGGGGATTAGGGCGAGGTGTTGTAAATTTAAACTTGACTACTTTTAAAATTTTGATCAAATTTGTGATATTTTTAAGCAGTGTGCCCAAAAATGTTTACATACACAGATATTATCGTATGTTCATAATTTATAACTACATAGCTGATTAAGTTCTAAGTCGTATCTTTATAAGCATTATTTAAAATACGATAACAACATACAAGCAATTGAAACTCATTGCCATATTATAAAATCAACAATTATTCATGTGAACAGTATTTATATAGTCCTTCAAAGTCACACACAGACGCTTGACCCCATCAACAAGTTTTTCCTTGTTGTAAAAACCTATAGTTATACGAAAGAACTGCTGTCCCTTGCCCTCTTCTACTGCGAAACGTGAACCTCCAATGAATGTAATCCTTTCACGCTCCATACAATATTCCATGAAATCGAGCGCCTTTAATTGATCCGGCAAACGTATCCATATAAAAAATCCTCCACTAGGTGGCACAAAATGGCAGCTTTTGGGTAACTTACACTTCAGTACATCTATGGTCGCCAACATCCGCTCTTTGTATGCGTCGTAGAGCCGTGCAATGTGAGATTGCGCCAACTGCAGCTCAAACAGACTAGCCACAATGCAAGCTGTGTAGTTGTTGAAACCACCACCGCTCTGAATGATTCCACTGCTATCCAGCAGCGGTTTAACGCGTGGTGGCACCTCCAGCCATCCTAGGCGCACACCAGGTCCAATAAGTTTCGAAAAGCTGCCATTGGAAATGACATTGCCGACAAAATCCGCATCTGTACGAGCGTCACAGGATATTAGACGATCAATCGAGGGTTTTTCGCCATAATGAAGGATGTTGTAGACATCGTCGCACAGTACTAAGAAGTCATATTTGCGTGCCAACTGCACAATTCCACGACAAACAGCTAAAAATCGAGTCAACAGAAATGATAAGATACTGTCATTATCTCTATTAACAACTCATCTCATCTTTTGTACTCACCTGGTGAAAACAATATGCCAGTAGGATTATGGTAAGTGGGAATCGTATAATAGATAGCCCAAAACTCCTTGTTCTTTGATTTAAAATGACGACCTCTTACTTTTTCATCCAGATCATCAAGATCCACGCCATCATCATTCAGCTTAAGTGGAACGATTTTAAGACTCGTAAAGTGTCTCATGCTGTCCAATGCAATCATATATGTGTACTCATCCACAAATATATAACCACTAAAGTCAATCAGAGTAGAAAGGACGAAATGTAAACCTTGCGTTGCGCCAGTTGTGATTATCAAGTCCTCGCTAAAAGGAAGCATATTCAAAACAATTCAGTGCAATGCATTCCATCCTTAATACGATTACCAGTTAACGGAGTTGGTGTACATCTTGCTGAAGAATTTGGCAACTTCTTTACGTATCTCATAGGTCCCACTTGTTGGTCCATATTGAAAGATCAGAGAATTGTTGGACTTTTTTTCGTGTTCCTAGGTATGTACAAAGATAACTTAGATTAAAATTGTAATCTCATAATGATAAGAGTAGCCGAAATCTCACCAAGCAATGGGCAGTAGCCTGTTGAAAAATATCGCAGCAGGGCTCCAAAAGATCTGGGCCTGGAGCACCTACGCTTAGATTTAAAAGAGTCGGGTTGTACACATTCCAAGCGGTGCCATCAAAAAGATGCTTATGCATCAGCTCTTTATTCTGACGTGACATTTAAATATGTTATCATTAAGACAAACGAAGTTGAAGTGAAACGAAATGTGAACATAACATCGGTACGTCGATTTTTTTCCTTTCTTTCTTTATCGATCTTTTCCCGATGTTTTTCACTGTTTTCCCATTATTGAGCCAAACTAGCGGTTCAGGCAATAGCAATTCAAAATAAAAATTTTTTTTTAAAGGATGGCGGGTTTTTGACAGTGACAGCCAATGTGATAGATAACGTCATATATTGTTAAAGCATATGATATCCTGCACGTACGAATTAATCGTCCTTGTAGCGTAACATAACTGCTTTTTTATTATTGTTTATTCGTGATTCGGCTAATGCATTAGGCACTCGCGAATACACATGAACAAGGTTAGGGAAATTTCACTGTCATTCGGATAGATGCCATCTTGAGTCTGGAGTTTTGGGGTGATACATTTGAGTAACCATTAGTGCAAGCTTTACCCACACAATGTTAGCCAGTCACAACGAAACGCATGCGTTAACTATTCGCAGTGCTCGCGCCATTTAACATTCACAACGAGCCGGCAACATCAGCTGTTAGTAAAATTGTTTTGGAAAATTCGTACAACATGGAAAAAGAGCAGCCAACAACAAGCGCTAATGCAGCCCAAGCAAAGGATCAGGATCACAACCCCTTACTCGACTCACCGATGCGGGGGCCAACATTGTCAACCTCAACATCCAGTTTCGAGGCCTTAGCACACGCTCATGATCCGAATCTCAGCAAGCAGGCCACGAAGATGTTCCAAAAAACTGAAGAATATATAACACATGAGCTTAATGCGCCACTAGAGGACTATAAATTGCTCGAGGAAATGAACAAGGCAACCATAGCCAAGTATAAAGACATGCGTCAAATAGCCGAAAACCTCAATCTATCCACCAACGAACTGTGCGGCAAATTTCAACAGTTAGCACCCCTCATGCAGCAAATCGATGAAATATCAGACACAGTGGACAAGTTGGAGGCGGCTGCTTACAAGTTGGATGCATACAGCATAGCGCTGGAGAACCGGGTTAAGTGTGTTCTGCAGCGCAAATCGAGTCAGCACGCAGGGCAATAATCGTGACTTTCCCGAAAAGCATTACTAGTACATTTATTACAATAGAATTTAAGTTTTACCCAAGTAACAATTTAAATATAATCGCTATTACATTAAGAAATATCAGTGGAACTGCAAAGTGAGAAATATGGACACGTGTTAGTCTTGTGGAAATATAAGTATATATGGCAACTCACTCTTAGCAACTGTGCGAATTGAGCGAATGAGATTTAAGACTTGATCCTTGGCACTGGGCGCTCCGAAATCCTGCTGACCGGCTTGCCGGCCCCAGCCAACTGTAAGTGCATTGTATTGGGTCAGTTGTAGGGAGATTTCGATTGCAATAACTTACACTTAGCCAGGAAACGTTCCTCGTGCAAAATGCAAACTGCATTCAGGCAAAGCAGCGAGGCCTCAATCAGTGTCCACAGTGTAAACATTTTTTTGAACTACTTAAAAGAAATCAAAATAAAATAACTAAATAATTGTTGACGTCAGTTTCAAAGCTACACTTGCCAATCACTAAAAGACGCGCACATACAGCTGTGGGATTTCTGGGGTGACCATCCAATGACAGTGCAAAAAGATTTTCCAACACCGCGTTATTCACTGCTGCTGGTCGCGTCAAGTTGTTTACGTTTTTTGTGTTTTGTTTGAATAATAGAAAAAAAAAGGAAGTTATAATGCCGTCATTTGCGAAGGTTATTATGTTGCTAGCCTCTCTAGCAACATTCTGTTATACGTTTTACGTGGTCAGAAAATTAACGATTTTTCTTTCCGAACCGCGTTCTATTTCAAATGCGCACATTTGGATCTTTAATTTATTGGACAATAAGTCGCGATTGGAAACCGCCTATGGGCCAATTGTAATAGACACCCTCTATGTGATTGGATTCATATTTCAGCACAGCTTCCTCAAGTCAGCATTCGTAAAGAATCTGCTGCGTAAATTGCATTTGGCTCCCGCGGAGCGAACTATTTATACTCTGACATCATCGCTTTGTTTACATGTGCGTACAAGAATCATAAAATAGCCATGAGTTTTCGTATAAACATATGCTCACTATTCGTTTAGTATCTGGTACAAAACTGGCAGCCAGCTCAATCGATTGTGCTCTGGCAGATCAATGTGGACGAGAGCGCACCGCTCTGGTGGACTTTTGTGATAACTCATGCACTATGCTGGACAGTCATTTACGGTGGCACCTTCATAATGGATCCGGTGGAATTGCTGGGCGTCAAGCAGACCTACTATGATCTACATAACTACTCGGAGCCCTTAGCGTACAAGTCGCTTGAGTTGCGCAATCTCTATTCACATGTGCGCCATCCATCCTTCGTTGGATTCACTCTAATTCTGTTTGTCACCAATGTAATGAGCCTTGATCGGCTGCTGCTCGCTGTCCTGCTTACTACGTACATGTACGTAGCTTGGTCTACGGATGACACTGATGTCGCCTACCAGCAGAAGCAGCTGCAGCGTAAAAAACTCGGCTTGAAGGCTCAATAGGGGCGTCATGAACTTGATCTTGAACAATAACTCCCTCCTAGTTTAGTATTTAACTATAACAACATACTTTTTACATTTTCGTACCTAATAAACCACAAACTCATTTAAACCACCGATGAAGCAAATGTGCCTCGTCCATCCATTTGGCGGAATCGGTTCAACTAATAAGCCTTGATCAGCCTCTGCTCGTGTTTCTTACTACGTACAACTAAGTGACTTAGTCCACGGATCAGACTGATCTCAACTAGTAGTATAAACAGCTGCAGAGCATTAAGTACAAATTGAACGTCATTTTCTGGGCTTAAGTCATAATTTATTCTTAGTTAAGAATAACCTTATACTTATACTAATAAACGTACGTTGACGTTTATTTTCTCGTAACCTAATGTAACTAATAAAGTTTTAGCTCATTCGCACCACCGACGGATCAAAGGGCTGTCCTTTAAATGGCGAACCTTCCGCATCCCACGCTTTTCGCAAGCGTTCTATTGTTTCGACCTGCTCTGGACTCGATGTGTGTAAAGCATTTTGTTGTTTGTCCGCTGCCATTTGCTGTACTCGCAGCTTCTCAATGGCAACTTGAGAGTCCTGTGGGAGCTCATCTATGTAGCGTTCGCAGTCAAGTTTCTTGATATCAATGTCATCGTCACCCTCAAACAGGCGCTCCCACCATCGCTCCTTCGCTTTGTCTACAAATGTTACCGATTAAAGGGACGTTTTTCGTTTACTTCGAAATACTTACCACAGCAGATCAGAAGCCGGCCATTTTCTATGGACCACATGGCATCATTCTGCCGTATACGCTGACTTAGCATTCCTTCTAAGATTACCTGCCCTGGTGCACTTTTACTGCTCACCTTGATATGCTGCGCTTTGATATCGATGCACAGTTGTTTGACAGTTTTAAGACCGGGAGGCAGCTGAACCTGCACTTCTAAATCCTTTAGGGTTTGCGACCAGCAGTGATGCTCAAATGCAGCACCGTTCTTAAAGTCGCCGGGTTCAAATCTCCGACTTACATCGCTAGCAGCTCCACTTGGCTGTGTCAGAGTATTTGGAGGCGTCTGCTCATCAGTCTCTACAGACACTTCCTGAATGGCAGGCGGCGCATTTTCCCCACTATCTTCAATTCCGCTTTCCGCGCTCATAGTTTGCAGCCAACAGTCGGGGTCGTAGCGCTGCATAGCGCCATAGAGAATTTGATCCCGCATTCCTTTCGGAAAACCGATTTTGTCTTCTGCATCTTTCTTGGTGTGGTAAAAGTCGGTACTGCAAAATATCTTTATCTTACTCTATCCAGATTATCAATTTCATACTTTGTTACTTGCGTCTCAAAAAACCAAATATTGCGTCCAAGAATCCAGTAATGGTTTTCCGCTCCTGCAATATTTCCATTAACATAGCATCGCTTCGCTGAAAGTCCATTTCAATTCTTTCCCAAATTGTGTGAACAAAATAAATATGATGGCTTGAATAGCCAGTGCTGGAAAAGACCACCATGAATGCCGAGAATGGCTAAAATGAGTGAAGCAGATGAGGCGCGCATTTTAAATAGTGCTCGCTGTTTAATGTTTGTTGAAATATATAGACAATAAATATAAATTTTCTTCACATTTTATTTTTCGGCTCAAATGCTTAAGATAAAGTGATTTGTAATGTATTCAACTCAATTTATAGTGGTAGGTAGTACTCCAAGCGCACATATTGACCAGTTTTTATCTAAAATAGATTAATATTTAAAAACATTGTAATAAGCACAAATTATAATGTGTGCTAACCTTTCTCTAGCGACCAAATGCCAAAAACAGTATCTTCGGGCTTGTGGTGACTCCCGTTTTTGGTGATATCCGTAGACTGATTGTCAGTAATAATCTTTTGCTCTCCGTTTATGTCTTGCAATTTTAAGTTACTCTGTTTGCTGAAGTCTTCAAGCTGCTCAGTTAGTGGCGGGACCACAAGCGGCAGCAAACTGAAATTTGAATAAGAACAATTTGAACTCTAACTCGACTAAATCTATTGATCATTTTACCCTTTAAGGACGGGGGCTGAGTGTATATTTAAGGGACCCAGCCTGTTCATGAGAAACTCTCGCTCAAATACCCAAGAGCGCGGCTTTTTTGGACACTCGCCAAAAACCAATGTGAGCGTCAGATCCACGCCCGAGTGAATGAGCAGCGCTCGCATAGTTTTTGATATCTTTGGTTTATTAAGTGTGGAGAAATCCACTGGCTTGAGCTTTGAGTTCTAAAAATACAAATATTATCGTAAGGGCTCAGAATTTATATATAGCATCTACATACCATATCCAATTCCTCTTTGTACATACGCTTCATGCGGCTCAGCATGCCGAAAGTCTGCAGCATTTTTGTAGCCCAATAGCTTGCACCTCGACGCCTCTCATCATCCGCATTAGAATTCTCTGTCAGTTGTACGAAGGCTACAAACAAATTCTCAATGTAACCCTGCATGGCCAGCAGCCGAAAAAGACCCTGGGTGGCCTCAATGACAAGGTCCTCATCCTCGCTGTGGCTAAGGCCAGCACCAAGGAAATAGTTCATTTTGAGTATACCCGCCATGTATATGTCTAGCAAATCCTTCATTGATGACGTTTGGCGTTTTACAGCTGCTCCCAGCTCAGTAACCACGGTATCCATAATTTCTCTAGTAGTTTTCAGCTTCCTGGTGGAGCAATAAACTCGTATCTTGTTGAACTCCGCGCTGGGCTTTAGTTTGCTGACCGACTTCAGCTTTTGCGCACCTTTTAATTGGCACTCCAAAGCCAGGTCAAACATCTCAAACAAAATTGCCAGCTCATTTTGAAATTTCGCCTTATCCTTTCGCTGCAGCTTCGGGGCATCCAAATTGCTCATGCTCTCGCACTGTGGTAGCCAGTAAAAGTTGCGCAGCCATTCCAAACAGTGTGCAGCTGTGTGACGTAGCACCACCGTTGGCGGCAGCTCCTGACCATGGGCACACAAGTGCCTCAAGTCTACGATGAAGGACTGCAGGCCGAGCTGTCGTGCCGTGGTGTACATGCTGCTCATGTTGTAGTTTTGCATGATCGAGGACATGAAATTAAAAAAGCGCGTAAAGGCGCTGGCATACGTTGGCTGTATGTTGGTACTACCCTGCTTATCCTCCAGCTGGGCCTTGACCAGCACCGCAGTGGCTAGCACAGAGGCCGGACAGAGACTGCCTCGACGCAGGTTCCATATTCGCATCTGGCTGAGAGCCTTGCGACAATTTGCGGGCGTCGTTTGCTTTGCAAACAACCACTCGTACACGGTGCTAAACTCTGTGCTGCAATTAGATTGTCAAATGTGAGAGACTCTTCCTGGGACAAATAATAACGCTTAACCCACGTGTCGCGCCAAGGTGTGACTACCATTCTCTTTTTGGCAGGTGAAGGCGCTGGGGCTGCAGTTGGCGGATCCTCGGCATGTTTTCTTTTCGCACTGGGCTTTTTATTGTTGGTCACGGGCATAGTAATAGTTTTTATTATTGATCTAGCGCGTCAAAACACCTGTGGAGTCGCCGCTGTAACTGCAAAGTATCAATACAGCAGTAACGATAAACAGCTGTGGCTGCGCTCAGATAGGATTCACATACGGAAAATATAAGGTAGCCCGGTAATTAATCTTTAACAAATAATAAGTAAAAATTCATATTTCATATATATTTCTTTATATGATATATTTATATGCATAAATATTCCCAATATATATCGTGCTTGTTCAATTAATTTTCATGTTTGCGATATATCGCAGTAAAAATTATCGATCTGCGTCCATCTTTAGTTGTGGCAGTTACCCATCGCTAGCTCAGTAAAAGTGCAGTGTTGCAAGGTGCAAGATCAAGAAGTTATTATTTTATTCGCAATATGCTTAAGAAAGTATATTTGTAAATGAAATAGCGTTTTAATATAGCTATGTGAGTTTATAGTGATTATAAAATACACCAGAACGTAAAGACACGTCGAAGACACAATTTTCCCGCCGGCACAATACGCGCGCCTTTTTTCCCACAACTACCTGCAAAATTTGCTTACACATGCATGTCGTCTACAACAACAACAATAATAACAACTTGGGGGATATATTTAATCCTGACTACATCGATGGGCCGTTAACGTCCAAGAAGATGATAATTGGTTCGTTCTCAATGTTCGTGATATTTTCATACCTCAAACTGCTCTACATACTCGTGGCAATCTATCTGGCGCTGCACCACGTCCACTAAGAAAAAAAGCGAAAGAGGCACGTTTAAAAAAAGGCTAATACCAGGCAAATGTATCACTTTGTCTCAGAACAAACAGCGGAACTGCGCCTCTCTGAGAATGTGCTTATTTCCAGCCATACGACACAGTACCTGAAGTGCTTTCAACTGGAAGCTGTGCGTTTTCTATATGAACGGCTGTCCAAACAAGAATTTAGCATATTTAACGATGAGAGCGGCTTGGGCAAAAGTGCGCCAGTTGTGGCACTGCTAAATGGCCTGGGAGTATCCAAAAAGACATTAATTGTGTTGCAGAACGATGAGCAGTTGCTGGCTGGCTGGCAGTTTCACTTGGGCGTCCTATCCGACCTGCCCGTGTGCGTTATAAAGGACGTCAATGGTCTGTAGCTTGCAATATTCATCTGCCAATTCTTATCAGCTAGCATATTTTGAATCACCTTCAATCTGCAGACAGTACGGATTCGGCGCATAGCGTTTATCTAAGCAAATGGAGCGTTCTACGCAGCATTGGCGATCTCAGCAAGCTGAACTTTGACTACATCATTGTCGATCATCGCGGCTATACATTAAATAACAACTTTTGCACTTCCATGCTTCTCAAGCAATTCGAGCACAAAGTGAACATTGTGATCTCTAGTGTGGACATAACGGTAGCATTATTCGAATTAAAAAGGAACATTTGGTATTATATGCATTCTGCCTTTTTTCCAGTCTGACGTGAAGTTGCTGTACAATGTGATGAGCCTGGGTGGCTGCCTGGAACATCAGCACAAGAGCTTCCGCAGTTTTGAGCGCAAGTTCCATCTGCCCGCTGTTAAGGAGGTGCTGAGCAAACGTGTCGATCTTGAGGAGTACTACAAACAGCGGGGTGTTCTTGGCGAATACATCAAGTTGGTGAAAATCAGCAGTAAATCAAACGATTACATAATATTGCTTGGAGCCATGAAATCATTTTCAAAATTACAATCAATTGTTAAAGCAATTCATTGCATCCAAATGATTATGTCTCTTGTTATGTGATTTCATTACATTTGGAAATTATCTAACAATATATTTTATTTGCAGAGACTTTCGCCTGCGACGTTATCGCCATCAGTTTGATTCATATCTACCACTTGTCACACCCGAACAATACAAGAGGAACTTAACTCTTTGGCTGGGACAAAACAATAGCAATAGTATACTAAGTGGCTCAACTATAGATTCGACTTCCACAGGAGGCACCGATGAAATTCTCGAGTGTCTGATGAGCACGAAACGGGATAGACAATTGGCACCGAGTCAGCAAATGGATCCAGACAAAATATCGCTGTCTGAGCACAGTGATGAAGTAATAGCAATGGAGCCTTTGGTTTTCGAAATGTCCGAATCGGAGCCCGAGGTGGTACCCACAGAAGTGACAGGTGCACATGCCAAGGAGTCAAACACTAATGTGGTGTTGCTCTCCAGCGATGATTGTGAGATAGTCACGCCGAAAATCAGACAGACACATTCGGCTCTAAGAGCAACAAATTCACAAACAGCCAAAACCAAGCGAAAATACACAAAACGTGCACAGACTGCAAAGCCACCGAAGCTCACTGATTCAGAGTCAGAGGAGCAGCCCCCAACCCCGAAAATAAAGGGGAAAAAGCTTAATGTTAGATTAAGTCGTGTATGCTTGCCCCAAAAGGATCAAAACGTAATAGCAGCAACTAATTCGGCCAAACCAAAAGATCAGGCGGCAAAACCAGAGCATGAAGTATCTAAAAAGCCGCCCGAAGAGACAACACCATTAGAAATCAAGTCGTTGCGTGCTAAACCTAATAACAAGGCAAAGCTTGACCCACCTGTACAAACAACGCCTGAGCCGCATACGCCTAAAGATGATAAACCTAAACCCTTGCCAATCACGCCCAAGACCGAGCCCAGGTCTAAACGCTCTGATGTAAATATTTTAACTGGGGTGCAACTTAGAGAGACGCGTGGAATGCAAAGAATGACGCGTTCCGCGGATGCACGGCCGTACAGCAAATACATGGGCCTCAGGAGGGCATTGGACTACGATAAGAAAGGCACACCCAAAAGGAAACGCAACTCGGACACTAATCAAACGCCCACAACTAGCAAGCTCAAAAAAGAGGAAGCAGTGGTAAAACAAGAGGTCACAGTCATGGCTAAAAAGTCAAAGACAACACCAACTAAAGAAAAACCGAAAACTAAAAAGATAGGGCGACCGCCGAAGAGAAAATTGTCCAAAGAACCGACATCTTTACCTAGCAATAAAAGGAGGGGAAAGATCAGTGAAGTAACCGTGAAGTCTGTGCCAGCTGCCACGCCAGAGCTACTAAGCTCCGGTTCCCTGCAGTCCGATAATTCATATTTGCAATGCGCACAAAAGCTGCCAGAGAACCTCGCCGAGCTCGGATCCTTGGAGCTGCCCCAGTTTCGTGTACCGCACGTGCCGCCGGCAACTCCACTCATGTTGCCCATCCCTTTGAATTTGTTTAGTGACTCGGAAGTGGCTATCGCACCTAGTCCCCAACAAAAGTCAGATGTAGTGGTCATCAACAGCTCGCATGACGAGAGCTCGCAGCCATCTGCTAAACAATCACAAAGCCGACGCACTCGAGCATTAAAGAGAAAGCGCCCAGTTCCCTCCAAGGAGCAACAGTCGCAGCCCACCACCTCAAGTTTTGGTATGTTGCTAGCACAGCAGCGCGGATCGGTCAACAAATCTCCTGACATATTTAGCAACTGCTCCGATTTATCGCAGCTCACGCTGGCACAGCCTGTGCCTTCAGTTTCACCGTTTGAGGGCTTCAAGATCTTTGGCTCTGAAGTAAAGCAGCTTCAGCAGCAGCACGCCAAAACACAATCGGGCATGCCGGTTAAAAAGAAGCGCGAACGCTCCTGCCTGGACATTCTGGAGCAAATGTTTGAGCCGCAAAAGACTAAGGATAGCGACCTAGGTGTTCAATTATTGCCGAATTTGCCCAGCCCCAAGCAACAGCTGCCGCCTCGACGCTTCACTTTGCTGGATGATGACATCTTTGAGATAACTAATAATGGCGAATTCGGCAGTCGGCTGCGTCTCGACTCCATGGGGAATGTGTCGCCCGTGCAGCAGCAACAGTCACAGCCTCAGCGCAACAAAATTACTAACTATTTGATTAGCTCCGGCGGCACTCCAGAGGATGCTGGCCAGCGAACTCAAGCCAGTCAAGTGCTGCGCAAGTCACCCAAAGGCATCAAGTCCACGCAGTCCACGAAACTGACACGTTGGTTTGCCACCGCAGCCGCGGTGTCAGGGGAATCCCAAAGTGCGCCTAGTACGCCTGTAGTGCCAGCCGACAAAATGGCGCGCGCTCGGATGGCACGCAGTGGTGGAGCTGGAAAACGCAAGCGACTGGAGCTCGATAAGTGAGATGCTCCTATGTCGTTATTGTGATCTATACAAAAGACTCAAGAGACTCAAGACTATGCAGTGGGTCGTGTTTAAACAATTTGCCAAAATATCAATCAATATCAAAGCGGTGGAGCTTCATTTTCTCTAACCAGATATCTCTGAAACACCTTGTTGAATGGAATGTGTAAGAATCACATTACTATTTTTTGTATAATTTTTTTAAGATGTAGAACAGTTTTTAAGGTCCCCAAGGTGGAAATGTGGGGAAAATCGATCTATTCATTTATCACAAATATCCTATTTCAAGGGATATACACTGTATACGCTGTTAAAATCGAATTGTGCGGGGCTCTCACGGGCCAATTAATTACGTATGTGTAAAGTTCCTCAATGACAAATTAACAGCGTCCGATTACAAAGAATATTTTTAAATATATAATACAGAGGGGCGAGCATTGAACAATTTAAAAGTTTCAACTATTTGGTTGACATGCATATTTTAATCAGTTTGTTACAATTCAGAAAAAATTTAGCAACAATTATTAGTTAATTTAGCTAAATGCAAATATTTTGTTTATGTGCACTCAATGAAATGTGCAAGCGTATGGATGTGTAAATACATTTACGGCAACAGATTAAAATGGAAAACGATACTTTTGCTTTTTTGTGGCACGTTGGAGCTACGTTCTCTTGAAAATGTGCGTCAGATTGTGCATGACGGCGCGGCGCTGGAACTCGAGCTCCCGTCGACAGGCGCTGCCTAGGAGCGGCGGGCACTGATATTGGATCTTCTCATTCGCATATGTGTCGGGGCCGAGGGCGCTGAAACTGAACTCGCTGAGCGAGTGCACTGGGAGAAGCAAAAAAACAGAAAAAAAGAATTGGAAAAGTCAAACATGTGGCACATTTCGAGTACTCACAGCAATAAAGTCCGCGAAAGAAGCACGTTTTGTGCGTCGACTGGATGGCCCAGGCTGGTGGATGGACACCCGGCATCGTCTTGGTCACCACATATTGGGCGGTGGCTTCATTTAGCCAGTGCGGCCAGTGAGACAGCCGCTCCGTATACTGCACCGTGTAGCGCCAGTCATGGGCGTGGCCATGATCGGCCAGAATCTTGAAATTTATGCTGGCAATTTATGCCGTCAGTTGTTGCTATCTGAGATCCATGAGTGTACTTACATTGTGGGATTAAGCAAGCGCATTTTATTAAAGTCCGCCACATATTCCCAAACTACTTCCGGTTTCGCTTTGCCGATAACGCCGTCTATTTGATATTTATGATAGCCGCCGGAGAAAACAAAGAAGTATATCAAGAAGACCGCGCTGAGCAGCAACGAGAGCCGCTTGAGATTCCAAAGACGCATGCTATGCATGGTGCAAATGTGTTGGTAGCACAGACCTATTCGAATTTTAAATAAACACAAAACGAAAGAGGGAACCGAAGATTCGATAGAATAAACAATTGTTCAGCAGACCATCGACGCACCAAACAGCAGCGAGGCAAGCAGCAGACTGACTGAGGGAAATTCGACAAGGCAATGGGTTAAGATCTCAGTGGATCAAAGGCTGTGACAGTGGCGTAGTGCAAAAGGGATGGAACATGAATGCTTGAAAATTACAGTTGTGCACAAGTATCTGAACATGCATGTGAATGTGTACATCCAAAACGGATCTACTTTGATAAAAATCTTAAAGACAACCAATTTTGTATATTGTTTTATTATAGTCAAATGATTTTAATATAACCTTAAATAGTAAATCTATTGGTTCGATAATTCAAAATAAGATCAGAAATAAAATATATGTAAAATTGAATATCCTTTTGCGACCCGTTACATAGTGTTGTACAACTTAGTCGAGCCGTTTTCAATTGTTACAGGGTATAATGCAAGTTTGTATACCTCTTCGATTTGCCGGTATGTAACGGATGTTTTGTTGCAAATAATACGGGCACAATATAATGTCAAATGTTAGCTGAACATGTTTAGAGCAATTCTAGTAAGCTTTAAAGCTTTAAAGCTCTCACTCATGATTACAATTTTAATTAAATTATGTTTCGATCAGTATAATAAGAAAAAACAAATTGTACTATAATTAACTGAATCTCATATTGCATAGCCATATATTATTTCACCACCTCTAATTACGCAGTATCTGTTAGTGAGAGACTCTGCGAGAACTGTTCATTCAGTAATTTTTCACGCACGCATACACACACACACAATCACAGCTCCTAACTGTGCAGAGCTTTCGGGCCAAAGCTCCAGTTTACAAATACCATATGATCTGTGCGTTCAGTTTATAAACAACACTCGCCGGTTGCAGGTCGACTTTGGGGCTAGAGCAATACGAGCAGCAGCAAGTGGAAATTACAAGTATATTCGTGAGGTAAGCATAAATAATTGCTTATCAAAAGCAAGTCTAAATTGAGTGTTTTGATGGCACCGCAGGAATCCAAGCCGCAGCCCCCAGCAGCGAATTGTAGGTTAGGTAACCAGACTGGCGTGCTAATAGCATTTAAAGTTAATCTGAACGTGCCGCAGCGTAGATACAATTCATCAAATGCGATTGTTGGCGAAACGCGCAAACCTGCTGCTGCTCCGATGCACAGCGCAGTTTCGCCAGACGCAGACGACGCCAGTGGCGGGCCTGGCAACCGGTTTCCAATTCCAAAAACTGGCGACAGCGACAAAAAGTGCCGCAACAGGTGCACAGCACGTTATTGAAAATGAAAACAAGCCAATCGAAGCGTCTGTCCCACAGGTAAATAGATGATAATTTAGATCAATGAGAATTTGATTCATCTGCTTAACACCTTGTGTAGAGCCAGAGCCAAGTGCCCAGAGCAGCTGCGATCTCGCCCCTAACAGACAGCTTTGGACGTCATCACACATATCTGCGAATTTCCCTCACTGAGCGCTGCAACTTACGCTGTAAGTTTTGCCCAACACAATCACTTCCATTCCATGTTCCCTACCCAATTATTGTTATCTCTGATAGCCAGACCTTAGGCTTTGAGTACTTAATAGTTGATAAGCTGTAAATGTTTCATGGTGAAATTCACAAGCTATCTGTGTCCATTTGCAGGTGAATATTGTATGCCTGCCGAGGGTGTGCCGCTGCAGCCCAAATCCCAGCTGCTGAGCACTGAGGAAGTGCTGCGCCTGGCGCGCATCTTTGTGGAGCAAGGCGTGCGCAAGATACGTCTGACGGGCGGCGAGCCAACAGTGCGTCGCGATATTGTGGAGATTGTGGCACAGCTGAAGGCGCTGCCTCAACTCGAGCATGTGGGCATTACAACCAATGGCCTGGTGCTGACACGTATGTTGCTGCCATTGCAACGTGCAGGCCTGGATTCACTGAACATCAGCTTGGATACGTTGCGTAAGGAGCGCTTTGAGCAGATAACGCGACGCAAGGGCTGGGAGCGGGTCATAGCGGGCATCGACCTAGCCATACAGCTGGGCTATCGACCAAAGGTGCGCCTTGTCTGAATATAAAGCAATGTATTTTGATGACTAAACAACTCCGTATTCCCTTAGGTCAACTGCGTGCTGATGCGCAACTTCAATGAGGATGAGATTTGCGATTTTGTGGAGTTTACGCGCGACCGACCCGTTGATGTGCGCTTCATTGAATATATGCCCTTTACGGGCAACAAGTGGCAGACGGAGCGCTTGATCTCGTATAGCGAAACGGTCCAGATCATACGTCAGCGTTGGCCAGAGTTTCAAGCGCTGCCCAATGGCCCGAACGACACCTCCAAGGCGTACGCAGTGCCTGGCTTTACTGGCCAACTGGGCTTTATTACCTCCATGACAGAACACTTTTGTGGCACCTGCAATCGCCTGCGCCTGACAGCTGATGGCAACATTAAGGTGTGCCTGTTTGGCAACAAGGAGTTCTCATTGCGCGATGCCATGCGCGCCGAAGGCTGCACCGAGCAGCAGCTGGTCGAGCTAATAGGTGCGGCAGTGCAGCGCAAGAAGCGCCAGCATGCAGGTGAGTGTCAAATTCTGATTGTCAAAAGGTTGTCTGTATTAATGGGCGCATTTATCCTACGCAGGCATGCTGAATCTGTCGCAAATGGAAAATCGCCCAATGATACTCATAGGCGGCTAGTCCAGAACTTGCACACCATTCCCCCCAGAACTGTTTGCTTGCAGGTATCGGCAGCAGCAGAACCATGCTTCATCCTCATCAACTACAGCATTTACAGCTGCGCAACTGCAGTGGCTTGACACACATCAACGCTCAAGGCAAGGCTCAGATGGTTGATGTCGCCGACAAGGCACACACCACGAGAACAGCGAGCGCAGAGGCCACTGTACAAGTGGGTAAGTGTCTAACTACGCTTATTGCAGCCAATGAGCTCGCCAAGGGCGATGTTCTAAGCGTGGCCCAACTGGCCGGCATCATGGGTGCCAAGCATACGTCACAACTGATACCACTGTGCCACAATATTGCATTGTCCTCAGTGCGTGTGCAGGCCACGCTGCTAGAGCAGCAGCAGTGTGTACGCCTGGTGGCCACTGTACGCTGCAGCGGCCAGACTGGCGTGGAAATGGAAGCCCTTACGGCCGTTTCCGTGGCTGCACTAACCGTCTACGACATGTGCAAGGCCGTATCCCATGACATCTGCATCACAAATGTACGCCTTCTGAGCAAGTCAGGCGGCAAGCGCGACTACCAGCGTCAATAAAATCACGCAGCTTGTGCATCCATTGCCATTTTGAATTAGCTCAGCTTCTTTTAATTGTGGGCCGACTTTGTGAGTTGTGTGTAGGTTGTGTGGGTGAATTGTTTGAGGGGATGGATGAGTGGCGTTTCTCTGTGTGTGTAACTGCGCCTTATAGCTAAAATTACATATAACATTAGAATCATAATCAATGCATTATTGTAGTGCCGCCGCACAAAGAACCTCATCGGACACAATAAACACGCTTCGTTTGCTGTTTGCTGTTTGGTATTCTCTGTCGAGGTTAGTTGGAGACCAGAACGTTGCGGTTTTCCACTTTGCTGCCGCTTTCCGTCTCCGAGGACTTGGTGCCCTCGGGGCCGATTTGTTCGCCGCGTATTTTGATGTTGTGCTCCTCCTTAAATTTGTTGAGTTCCTGACCCTTTTTGCTCAAATCCTCTGATACCGTTGTAATGGTTTTCGCAATGAAATCCTTGTTATCCACCAGTTGGGGCAGGACTTCTTTGACAGTCCGTTCGCACAGCACGCCACCAATGAGACGGAAACACTTGCGTTCCGGATCCGCTGAATTGAGGGTTTCTATCACAGTTCTAATTTACAATAAGAGGCGACAATTAGTTGTTTATATTTTGTAGGTTAGGTTAGCGGCCATTCTGACTCACTTGTGTTCACGCAGATCCATTTCCAGCGTATTTAAACTGTTGGCCAGATTTCTTTGTTCGTTCCGGAGCTGTTGAAACTGGGCAACAATTTTTTCTTGGGACATTTGGCCTTTAACCGCTTCGCTGCTCATTTTTCTAGTTAATTTTTAAACAGATGTCTACTAAAGTTGAATGCTAGCTCGATAATGTGTGGCCGAAAGTCAAATACTTTGGCGTTTTTACTTATTTTACTCATATTTGACATTTTTGTTTAAGCTGCTTACGGTTACACTAATTTGTATGGTGGATGTTGTGGATCGTGTTTATTTCAAAACTCTCATTCAGTGCTTAGTATTTTCACATGGGTTGGCAGCTCCAGTTAACGAAGCGCGTGATTTGAACTCAATTTGAAGAAGAAAGCAATATTGCAATAGGTGCAGTGTTGCCAAAATGGGTTGGCAGCTCTTATTTGTGAATAAAAGTTCAATAAATACAAAGGAAACTCTTGTGCAATCCAAATATTAATTGATCAACACTGGCAATCATTGCCGCCTCGATTTAAACGGGATGGCAGCTCCTGTTATCAAGGCGCATATTTCAAAATTACTATGGATATTTTGAAAAATAGGAAGTCAGTCCTAAGAGTTGTCCGCCACACAAAATACATTTTACATAGGGAATTAGTGGTTTATTGTGCTCAAGCTGAACGAAATACGCCGCCAAGTTGATGACTTTATAACCCAATTCAGCTGCTAATTGGTGCGCAAATATTTACTTCGCTTTTGTCGAACAAAATTTCAACGTGTGATCATTTCTGGCACTCTTAAAGATCATTCCTCAAGCAGTCTGTGCACTTCACGTACGACTGCCTTAGGAACTTAAGTAATGCATTTAACAAGTTGTTCGCTGTTGCTCGCTTGGCTTCTGCCATGGCTGGAAGCCTCCTACGATGTGATTTCGCCGACCCAGAATATAACGGCTTACCTACATGCACGACAGAAGCGCCATCAGCTGGTCTACCAGAACGGAGGCAGTATTCGTTTAGTGGTTGGCCCCGTCATGGCCGTTGAGCTACAAGATCCTGTCGTTTGGCGCAGCATGGTCAACTTTTATGTGATACACTTTGGAGCATATACATTGCCCTCAGCGCCGCTCTACCCGTGGGATAAATGGGAGTCCATATTTGCCAGATCGCTGAGCGATAAGATACGCCAGCTGGACGCATCGCACGAGGACGACTCGCGCCTTTTTGCTTACACTGCGCTTGAGCATTACATGGACAATGCGAGCGGAGTCCGGGGTCGCGGTCGCCAGTGCCTGCTGCGTGCAATGTGTGAGAATGCGCAAGTGCATCATCATGTGGGAATCATAGCCGAGCTGCTAAATGTGCTACTAACGTAAGTGCGACAGATCGAAACCTAAATTGAATTATCTTCATTCCCGATTGCAGACCTGGAAAGGCGCGACTCGAGGAGGCCTATAAAGAAGCCTACGCTGCGGGCCTAGCAGGTGTGGATTGTTGTGAGCAGTTCCAAGAGTGTCCCAGAGGTGCGAGTGCTCTGGATGCTTTTACTGTGGATGTGAATGACTAAACTTGCAGCTTCAATTTGGCTAAGCGGGCTGAGCCAAAGCGCAATTGCATATAATCAACTTTTTGATTAAAAATTAATCTTAAAAAAATGTCTGAAATGGTGTTGAAAGAAAATACCGTTAAACCGCGTCAAATGTTCGATATCAATGTTTAACTGATTTTAGTGCCTGCACGTGCCACGCCTTTCCAGCAGTTGGTTGGCTTTAAATGTTGCCGTTCTTCGAAAAACCCGTAACATTAATGGCAATTGACTGCGGCACACGGGAGAGCTGCAGTGCAACGGGCGTGCGACCGCCATTTTGTCAACAATGGCATCAATTAAATGGAAATGCAGCAGTACCATCAACTACAACAACAATAACAACAAAGAGAGCAGCAACGACAACAACAACGACGACTCCTAGAACAGAAAGACAATAAATGCGTCTTAAGTGGCACATTAGGCTTCCCAGGTAGCTAGCTACACGTCGACAACAACACGACAATTGCGCTCCACCGGGTGCTCCCAACACAGCTGAGTTCAAGTGTTAGCCTCGCGCAGTCAGCAGCATTTAGACGAGGCACCCTGTTTTTGGTATTGCTCGTCGTTTTGTATGCACAGCTAATTCAAATGCGATTATGACAACGCGAACAACGCTGCTGATAAGTGGGTGGAGAATGTTGACAGGGAGCTGTGCAAAGTGCGGGCAAAGACAAAGAGAGAGCGTGGGAGCGGGAGAAAGAGAGAGTTGCACAGAGCGAGAGAGAGAGAGCGCGCAGCAGTTGTGCAACTTTGCGGTATTTGAACTTCTGATGTCGCATAGGAATAGGTAACAATCTGGTGGCAATCGCGTTTATGCGTACAACGAAAACATGAAAACTAAATCTTGAACACAGCATAATATATAATTGTATTCCGGTATGAAGGAGCTGCCTGTGTCTAGATTTGGTTCTCCTTATCAACCAGGAACAGGTATATGGCAGGTATTTTCGAAATAATTATGGACTTAGAAGGAATTGTAAGAAAAATATTGCATATGCAAGCTGCAAGTGGGATAAACCAGACATGCTTAAGCTATTCATCCTTATATGATTTTATAAAAATTGATACAAGTAAGCAATTTATAAATATTGCCCACAAAACGTGAATTGATTGTCAAAATAAGAGGCTACGTGTATGCTGCGTGTTGGTTTAGTTGAGCCTACTGTATGCTTGCTTGCGCAGCCTCCCCTACTGCCGTTTCCTGCCACATGCCGCATGCCGCATGCCACATGCCACATGCTCACTGCGTGCTCCTTTGACAGAGTCGCAAATTATGCAACAGTCGCAACAAGAAGAAGCATTAGACATGCACTTTGATTTGCCAAAACTTTATTGTTCCATCCAATCTAGCCAATCTATGCAATCCATCAATCCATAGCGAAAACTCAATCAATCAAGTTGTGCTCCGAAACCAACAGCTCGTCCAGAAAGTTGAGACCACGTGGGCAGGCCTTAAAAACGGCCAAGCAATTAGCACCCGCTTGGCCAGCAGCAAAGGCATCGTGATAGGCGTTATCTAAATCAGCCTTACCCGGACTGCAAAGAGTTCAGAGAAGACAGATGAAAGGCTGGAAAGCATTCAAATTGTTTACCCACCTCAGGACAATGTTTAGTATTTCGGAGAAGATGCCAACATGATGGTGCACCTGGGCATTTTCGCATATGGAACGCAGCAGGCATTGTCTGCCCACAATCATATTATTGTTCCTTCTGCCCATGTACTCCTCCAGGACTGTGTAGGTCAACAGTCGTGCATCGTCCGCATATCTAACAACTCCATTTGCCGTGTTCCTCTCAATGTTGCGTCTCATTTGCTGCAGAGATCGGGCAAAAGTGCTTTCCCATTTGTCCCAAGGCCAAATCGGCGTAGTTGGCAGGTTGCTGGACGTTTGTAGTGTGAAGGAGAGCACAGCAGAGCGAAAGGTCACATGGTCGCCCAAAGGAATTGGCAACGAGGGTCCAATGCTGAACTTAATAGAACCGCTGTTCTGAAATATAAGTCCACGCCGCTGGCGATGCGACAGAAACTCAGTCAGATTGGCCGAGGCTGAGGCACAGCAAATCCAGCCTAAGGCTAATAATGCAAAGCTAATGAATATACTCCCCGCTCCAGACATATCTTCAGCGCACTTCGAAACTAACTGCTGCCGCAGGGGCAACCAGCCGCAGTCGCTCTCTGGCAGCGTTCCGAGTGAGCCATCAATGATGACAAGTGGAAATTTCGGAGACACAAACATTTGGTCAGCCAATTAGCAATGGAATTGTGCTGGAAATTGGAGTGTAGGTGCTCTTTCGCCCAAAGCCCCGAAATCACCTTTGGTTTGGTTTTCTATTTGCACACGTGAGATTAGAATTTAGATTTGTTGGCCCAATGGGGTTTTGTATTTCTTTTGCGTGACTCGCCTTGTTAGGCGTTGACAGGCCGAGCCGAGATTAGAAGCCAGGCGGTCTTTGAAGTGAATTGGAGACCACTTAAAAGGCCATTAAGAAAACACACAATGAAAAACGAAAAATGTTTTGCAAATTATTTATCCAAATAAACATGACAGGGCGCACCCAAAGCAACGATGAGGACACCGCAGCGACGATAGTGTGGCCACGGAAACAGTTATGCTGCAGATAATATCCTTTTTCGGTTGTTTGTGATTTGTCGACGTGGCCGGAAATGAAAAGCAAACAGCCCCAACAGCCACAGCATCAACAGTGCCAGCAGCATAAATATAAATTTGCTTAAATAACAACTGCCAAGGAATATCGTCTCTGCAAATCAGTTTTAATAGGTAAGTCACATACGTACACACTTCTATTTATATACTAAGTTTCGTTTTCTAACTTTTATTCAAATTCCATTCCATTTAAAAAACCAAAATTTGGGCCTTAATCTCAGTTAGAAATTGTTATTTTTAACTTAGGTTTATTAGATGAAGAACTTTAAGACTTAAGATAAGTTGGCTTGGTATAACGATGAAAGTAAAATACAGGGAAAGTATAGAAATAATGATAAATACTATTTACATTTGAGAAATATGGTTGCAAAGAAGGTGATGGAGCATTAAATATAAGAAAAAGTCGTTTTTTTTAAATTTAAAAAATTAATGGTAAAAATAGATGGCTTAATATGGAAGTTAGTATTTTTTTTTTATCTCCGAACTCGTTTAGATTTCTTAAAAATATTTTCCTTACCCCGCATGTGATATATGATTATTGTGTGACCTTCAGTAAGGGTATTTGAGCAATAATATATCTGCCGACCGCAAAGGCGACCAAGTCTGACACACACACACACACGCACGTAGAAAATGTTAATACACACACATATTGCTAGCATAGATATACACATACAGACACAGACTTAGACAGACTGCGTTGCAAGCAACTTGGCAAGCCTGACAAAAGCACAACGCTGTGTGGCTGCCTCCTTAGACCCGCTCCCCCGCCAGGCCACACCCCTGATCAACACCTTGCTGGTTCTCACTACCATGTTGTTCATTTCCGCTTGGGGAACCGCAAGAAACTTAGATCAGACGAAAACGCAACACAAATAAATTCGTGTTGACAATTTGAATGATTTATTTATGGGTGCGTATCCAACAAATTTCATCATATACCCCAGGGTAACGACTGTAAAGAGTTAAGCTCAAAATAAACAAAGCTCCTAGCACAAATAGTTAGTGAAAAGACCAAAAACATTCCAATTATTTAAAGCCGAGTAGAAAGATTTGAGGAATAGACAAAAATATGCAAAGGCAAAAAGTTTTGATGCTTACCTCAAGAATGCAAATATTTTGAATTATGATTAAAATTGAACTGTCTTAATAATGAAGTGCCCAGAATATTGATAAAACGTTTTTCCATTAATTTTAGCCTTCTTTATGCTATTCTTCATAATATAATGTATAATGTAATGTCTAAAATTGATATTTTTTTTTAGCTTGGTGTGAAATGTGTGAAATAGGAAGAAATCATATTTGATACCCTTAAATATATATATTTGTTTTGGATCAGGACGTCAACTTCGAGTCGACAATCTGTTGCAGGTTTTCTTAACAGTATACACTTAAAAGATTTGATTAGTAAGCATTAATGCATGCTAATTTGGGTTTTTCGAATGTGTTTCCCACATGTCTTTTGTATTTTCTTGAGTGAGATACATTTGGATGTGCCTAGCCACAATTAGGCAAATGGATGAGGCAACGCTTTAAACACTTCTGAAAGTGTCACAAAGCGACACGCCCTAAAAATGTGCCACCCAAGAGTAAGCAAAAGTGGAGAACCCCTCCCCAGATGGGGCGCGTTGGGTCTGTGAGTCGCTGACACACCAACTGTATATAATATTTATTATGTTGGCATAATAAATTGCAACATGGGGCAGATTCATTTTCGCACTTGCGGACATTTTTCATTCTGCTGGCCGGGCAGCAGCAGCAGCTGCTTGGATGTCCGTCTATGTGTGGCAGCTGGGTGCGGGCGGCGGCCGGGTATCTTGCAAAGTTAGGCAGCCGATAGGTGGGGCGGGAGAGTGCGAAAGTCGCCATGGCGCCGCGTCCATGTCGCCAATGTTCGCCTCTATGCAATGCCGTCGCCTGCTTGCGATGATGAGCATAGAAAAAAAAAAATAATAATAATGAAAAACTTGTTGCCTTTTACTGGGAGACGCCTCACACACTGCCAACTGCATCGCATCTTCCTGGGCAACTTGCCATGTGCGCATTTTAAAAAGGAAATTTAATAAACCTTGTCCCATTTCATGCTCATTAGTGTCATGATAAATTTTAGACCAACTTTGCAGGTAGACCGACCAGCTGGTCTACGTTCGCTGCGGCTTGGGTGCTTGGATGTTTGTGTGCTTGGGTGCATGTAAATGTGGCCGGGGTCGAGAGTTCAAAAGGCCACAGGCGCTTAACTGTTGCATTCCATGGCCGTAAATTAGAAAAGTTGGTCGACGCGGGACAAGTTGCTTTGATTTGCCAGTTTGCCAACGTTTTATAGCCGTTTAATGTGCTGACATGTCGACAATTACAAGGCAAATTGTGTCGGGGTGTGCTACACGGAACGGGGGCGTGGTTGGCTGGAGGGAGCTTTACCAGCAGCCGGCAGCCAGACTTCATAGAGAACACATAAATTTAACCAATAATCTCATTGTTTTCACATGCGCTCCATTGCGCGGTTTTTAGTCGCGAGATACTCGACTGAAACACTTTCTCCTTGTTGTTGTATCCTTACGTACTTGTTGTTGTCATTGTTGTTGTTGTTGTTGTTGTTGTCAACAAAGTTTTGCAGACACAATATGTCTGTGACGGTCGTCTATTTGTCTGTCTGTCTGTCTGCATTCCCGTCTGTCGGTCGGTCTGTCATTTGGTTTGCTTACAGCTGCCAACTGATGTTGCTACTTTTATAGTTGATGTTATTACGATTTTTTTCAGCGCCATCTCTTTTCCTTTTCCATTCACTGCCTCTCTCTTTCGCTCTTGAGCATCTGCTCCATATATTTACAATAAGTGCACAAAAAGTTTGAGATGTTTTCTTAGCTGTAGCTAGTTGCAGCAGAAATACACTTTTATTTTACGTAAAAAGTACATTTATTGATTTGTCCATTTTAGGGTTAAAATAGGAATGGGTAAACAAATTCAAGAATATTGACAAAAATTACACAATAAATATCTTAAAACATATTGCAAGTGAAGTTAATTTATATTTATATTTAAGTCTAGGCCGGGCTTTTGCCGAAACGCTCTGAGCTGGGATTTCCTGATCATCAATAAAAACAGCCAAATTTAAAACTGAACTTAACCAATATTTATTTTAAAAATGTTTGGTCCAAAAATTTTTTTATTTTTGAAATTAGTTCGATTAATTAATCATAAGGTTTACAAAATCAGGCTTACGAATCAAAGCTTGCGAATGCGTTCCAGCTGAAAGCCGAAGTATTTCCTGCAGCTTTGGTTTATATGAATGCAATTAGTTTCTCAGCAAAATCATAATACTTTCATTTGGTAGGGTATACACCAAGGCTGCATTGCTGTTTTGCTATTATTGCCAGTTGCCTTTGTGGCTGCTGCGGCGGCTGTTGCACTTCAGACATCGGTGCCGTCGACGCTGGCGACGACATTTAAAGCGCCATGAATATGCAAAACTTTTACACTCAGTTTTTATGCGCAAATATATAAATCTAAAAAAAAATATATAAAAAATATAGAGACGCTACGACAAGGATATTGTGCGGGCGCTTTGCGCTATTAGTCCTCTAGAGGGGAAGGCAGACGACGAGGACGAGGACGAGGACATCGCCTGCATTGGCAGCTTCGCTTGCCACTCCGCGTAATAATTCTTCAATAATAACAGACCGATGCCAGGAGCTGGGGCAAAAATGCGGGCCATGCAACAACAGCAAAACGTTTGGAGGTTGTGAGTTGGGAAACGGGTGAAGCCAACTCTGTGGCGGCTATAAAATAAACACTCGCTCACTTTAACCACAGTTCCTTGTACCGTGGCATCCTGCGCCTTCCGCTGCTCGGAGCCGCCTCGCGGCTTCGCGTTTTGGTTTTGTCTTCTGCTGCGTTTTTGTTGCGCGCTGCGGTTTAAGTTTTCTCTGCGGCTCAACAAAATTTGTTTGCATTTGCAATGCAGAATTAAATTATTGCTTCCTCTATCACTCTCTGCTCAGCACTCCCCGCTCTTGTTTGCGACACATTCTGGCTGTCCTGGCCATGTCCCAGCTGTCCCGACTGTGCTCCGCCTGTCCTGTCCGTCCCAGCTGCTGTTGCGGTTTTTGTAGCTGTTGTCAGTTGCTGTTGCAGTTCTTGTTTTGCCGCACCACACCAACATTATCGCTGGCTTTGGCTCCGAGCTGTTTAGAGTTGTGCACTGCGGTCTGTGGAGCATATTGATTGGGTACCGCCGGCGCTTAGCTCCAGCTAGAGTGGAGCAAGCAGCAAAATTGGTTGCAGGAAAAGACGCACTACGAGGTGCTGATTTGAGAAACATATGCATTTAGTTTGGGTGCTAATATGAAATGAATTAAATGTTCAGTTGGGCTTTGCATATGCTTACACATATTTATGCATATTAAATTTACAAAATATTTATATACTTTTTGTAATTGATCGTATGCAATTTTATCATATATTTCTATAGTTTTCGCTAAATTTTGCGCATCTTCTCAAGCCAGGAAATTGTAGAGTCAACAATTTTTGCTGTTTTTTTTTTTGTTTTTTACATCCAACAATCCGGCTGCCAAGTCATCTTAAATCTATTGTATATTTAATCTACAAGAACTTGAAGGTAACAAATTCCCTAACGCGTTTTTTGCATATCCTGTTGCGGATCCGGTTGCTGTCAGTCGTTTATTTGCCGCTTTGCATTTATTTCAAATATTTGGCGCCACATTTTACAAACAGTTTCTGCATGCATATTTGCCAAAGACAGAAGCCAAATAAAAAAACGGGGGAACAAAAAAATCAACTGAGAAAAAGTAGAAAAACGAACGACGTTTTTGCTGATTTTTATGGGCTAAGAGAAATCAACTAACCAAGGCAGACAAGATGTCCGCAAAGCGACAACGCAACTTCCTCGGCTCGATGCGTGCCTCTAAATTATGCACAGCACAAACAACG